GCTAGCTTTTCCTAAGATGTATCGAAAAGCATCTCAGCAGCCACGTCATGCCAAACCCTCCATCCCCCCAAACCCACAAGCATCATCAGATTTCTGTTGTTGAATAAAAGTGAGTTTCTGGGCGTCCTTAATACATTCTTCTAAGGCCGCTGGGTTTAGGCGTGATTGAGTGTGCGGTATGCTTTGGAATTTTGAAAGGGAGGTAATTACACTCAGCAGAAATGTTGAAAAGCTGTCCCATGTTTGGTGTGCTCAAATAAGCCCGTCAGATTTTGTAGTCTGTGCAAATTAGGTGTCGTGATGAGGGCACCCAGTTTTAATATCACATTGCACTGCTGCTTAAAGGGATAAGTTGGCCAAAGGCCTTATTGTCACAACTTTCCCCAGTGTAGTTGATCAGGCAAGACACGTTTGAAGTTTACAGTTTACTGCTTTTATTTTTTTTTACTAGAGATACTAATGTAGTTAACAAGTAAAGGAAGCTTGTACTTTACTCATTAGCATATCTAAAGTAGAACATTTTGACTCGCATCATGTTTTTAATTAATCTCAAACAGAATTGCTAATGTGGCTTCTGATCATGTATTTCATTCTGTAGTCTCACTACCCGAATCCTTGATTGCCCACGATGAGGGCAAAGCATGCCTCTTTTTCTGAAAATACTGATTTGCCTCAGAATCAATGGAAACTGTAAATGGAAACATCAGCCTTAGGCACGTGCACGGGTGCTCAGTTACTCGGTTAAGCTTTCAAGATGCCAGTATTCAAATACTGATATCACTATTTGGGTATTTGTTCCGTTTCATCATGGAAGATGGAGAAAATATACAGACCAGCACCTCAGTTCAACGCAGATTTTGTTACAATAAAACTGTAAATCGTGAAAGTTGTGCTCATATTTGTGAGTTAGTATGTCAGTGTTTCTCATCCATGGCCCTGGAGGCCACTGTCCAGTACGTTTTAGTGTTTTCCTTGCTTCAGTGTGTCCACTTCAACTCAGTAAGGGCTTATTAATAAACTGATTGGTTGGATCAGGTGTGTTGGGAGCAGGGAAAACTGTGGAAAATGTGCAAGGATTGTGCAGGGCCCTGACCAGGATTGAGAAATCCTGTGTTATGTTATACTTTGCAACTCTGAAATGAGCGAGCTTTAGTGTGGGCATGTTGACGAGGTGGCATTACTAAGAATGTGACTGAGAAGAGATAGCATGGCTTTTAATCTCAAATAGGCTAGGCTGATGTTAGGAACAAAAACAGTGACAATATATTTCTCTGACAACCTATCATGTTGGAATATCCACTGAAGAGGAAAAACCACCTAGAAGAAGACGCTCCATCTCCATCAGCATCCAGTGTTACAGGTTAGCTATACTTTTAGCCCATTAGCTCATCTGAGGCAGTCAAAAAAATGTTTTGGAACATATTCCTCTGCATGGTGCTTATTTGGTTAGCAACACCAGTGCTGTCACCTAAAAAGGTAAGCCAAAGCACTTTTTTGTACACATGGCACGGAAGACCGCTCTCGCACAAAAACTACTCTCACATCCGAAGAGAAATACTCGCCCGAGGAAAACCACACTCACGCACACGAAGAGAACTACTCATGTGAGGAAAAGCACCCCGACGAAAAGGCTCTGATGAACATGACAGCCAGCCAATCACAACACAGTTGTCAGTAATCAGTAGTACACAATCTTATGTCAGGACCCGCCCACAACTGTCAAAACGAATGTAACCATTGCGCGAGCAGAAGCTCAAAAGTGAGGGGAAAGAACGGCAGAGGGCTAGTTTATCTCACGCGCGAGTGCTTCTGCTTTTGCGGGGGTACTTTTCCTTGTGCGAGTAGGTCTCTCGCGCGTGCAAGTGTGTTTTTTTGTCGCGCGGGAACTGAACTAGTAGCAGCCATCTTGAAGTCTGAATTTTGTCTGTATTGTCTTTTTTTTATAGATAACACAATTTCATACAATGTAAGAAACAACATAAGCAAGTCTATTTGATTACTGAAGAACATGACTTTTTTTGCGCAGTGCCAGTAGGCTTCCATTGATTCTTAGGACCCAACCTATCTTGCATGAGACAACATTCAGAAAGGGAGAATTGTAAAATTAGATTCCTCTGCTAAATTATCCCTTTAAATGTATTTACTGTCATTTACTATCAGCTGACTGTGGCTGCATGGATGGTACTCTAAAGATGAGTAGCGAGTGGGGAAATATCACTTACTCTCTCTTCTTGAGTAGCATAATCAGGGCTCATGTCTTGCACAAACACGAGGCTCATAAATCAAAAAGGACACTCAGCATGGGGGCAGATGTTGTCATAGCAATACCCCATCAAGATCGGCGTGTATAATCTCACCAAATGTTAATCGTTCATGGCTGCCTCTGACTGCTGCATTGTATTCAGTGTGAAAGGGAGTTTTTTGGGTGGTGTGGGGGAGGGGAGGGGAGGGGAGGGGAGTCCTGTCCAAGCTAAGGATCTGAGATTGGGAGTAAGAGATAGATATGCAGCCTCAGGATAATTGCTGGAGAGCAGCCTTGGATCATATGCACTTTACTTTGCACGGCTTCTTCTTGAAAAGCCTTTTACTCATGCTGAGCAAAAGTGCCTGTCTGTCTGGTGTTTTGGATGAAGAGAGAGACAGTTATTTTGACTGCTACATGGCCAAAGTGGTGGCTTTACAGAGCAGCAAGTTTTATATTGTTACTCTTTTCTTCGGTTAAACCTTGTTTTGTTATATCGTTGTAAAAGTATCTGAAGCTGGAAATCTTCATTGTAGAAAGAATTAGAAAAAAACATGAATTTACAAGTGTTCGTTTACCACGTACAGTGGTAGGGACGTCTGAGGTAGCTTGAGGTCGTCCAACTGGACAGCTTTCAGCTTGAGGGTCAGGAAGCTGTGCTTAATTATTTTCCCTTTCACAGCTGTAGGTTTGAGCAGCTGAGTGTGGCCTTCTTTTCAGAGCGAAGGGAGAGAGAGGGAAGAAAAAACAGCCGAGTCGGGCGTGTAGGCATGAAGTCTACATCACTTCCTGCAGCATCTGGCAGTGATCAGAGTGGGAGAGGAGGAAGGAGCTCTGCTGCTGCAGAAAACACTGGAATGTTACAAATCTGAGCTCCGGCTAACGGTTCTGCATGTCCGCCCGCCCACTCTGCTGCTCTGAACTTTCAAACTTAAACAAGATCCTGTGGTACGACAGCAAACAGCTCCTAAAACAGACCTGGTATTATTATATTTGTCTTCAAAAATAAAAGTGAATGTATAGACACATAGTCAGAATGTAATCATTTATACATTGATTTAATCTTAGATGCCAAGTTCTTGTTGTTTTGCTATACATTCAGTTTACATTGCAAAATGAACTGTATGTAATTTGTAGGCCTGTTGTGATCATGGAATTTCAGCCAGCAGTTAATTGAAAGAAATAAATAGAATTAATAATGTAATGTATTGTAACTATTTAAGTACAAGCTTAATGTAGCCTAACTGGCTGTTTAGCTATCTTGCTTTTTAGCTATCTTCTCTTTGCAGCTACCAAGGAGTGATCCACTGCATTGTAGTGTTTGTGCAGAATCACAAAAGTGTACAGATACACAGAATCATGTATAATCTCAACCAAAGCTTATATTTGTCTCTCGAGACTGTGAAAAAACACCTGTTCTCCAGACATTCACACCAGAAATAGAAGACCGACCTGCTTGCTTGCTTTTATTCACTTTAGTTTGTCTGAAGCCAACTGATGAAAATGCGTTCATCTCACATTATACGTGTTGTGATACAATATGATTGTGGAATTAAGGTCAGCATAAATAAATGCGATCATCTCAAATTACTGTAACCGTTATGTAATAATCATGGCAGGCCTGGTAATTAGATAGCAAAGATATTAGATATAGAAGTATATCGCTGCTGTCGGAAGAAAACCTCGTATCTCCATTTTTGTCATTTTTCAGTTTTTGACATTGTTTGAAAATGCCTGCTGTTGTTTACATTGTGCTTCATGAAGAAAAGACCAAAAGAAACAGCCCAAAATGACTTGGAAAACAGTCTGGTTCCATTGACTTCATTAAAAGTGAAGTAGGTTTTTTCCTTTTCCTGTAAAGTTACCATTTTGGAGATACAGGGTTTTCTTCTGACAACAGCGATATATTTATTTGATTAATGAATTTGAGTCTTGGGGTTTAAGTCTGCATCATTTTTTCATTTGTTTTGATGTCAAAAAATGTAAAGAATTTTTTTCTTTCCACAGAATAACAGAGTTGCAGTTATGTGGTACAAAGTAATACGTTACAGTAATGTGATCACTTTTTCAAGTAGCGAATTAGTGTAATGCATTGCAGTTCAAATTCTCGTAACCACATTATTTCATTTCATAAAAAAATATAAATTTCCTGTATATATTTATATCATTTGTGCCTGTCCTTATGTAATTTACACAAGCATGTGCTACCTGTGACAGCTTACTGTATTGTGAATATGACCAACACAGTGAATTCAGTGAGTGGTCTGTTGAAGCATCTAATCACGCTGTCATGAAACTGATGAATAAAAATCTGCATGCTGAAGAAGAGAGAGCCCCAACCTACACAGGCCTGACTCACTATTTTATTCAGAAACAGCTGTGGAAGCTTTACATTTTACTCGCTGCAGTTAGAAAGGAGTAATAAGTGATTTATAATGGATAACTTTTCTGAGTAACTCCATCCACACTGCCAAAAACCACTCACATTGACTTTCATTACATTCAAATCATAATGAAATATTTCCACTTCACAAATGTGTTGAATTGAAAGTTTAAAGTCTGCATTTTCAACAGATTTTTTTTTTTTTAAGTTAAATGTATTTTGCAAAAGTTACAAGTGAGAAATAGTTTTAAAAAAGGTAAGCAGAGCTATGACGGTTATATTAAACAGCTGACCTTATTTTGATCAAATATCTGTTTCTTCCATTTACCTCTCTCTCTCTCTTTCTCTCTCTCTCTCTCTCTCGCGTGCTCTCAGGATGACGTAGGGGTGGAGGCTGGAGGAGAGAGAGAGCAGAGATGAGCCTCACGTCCTGGTTCCTGGTGAGCAGCGGGGGCACGCGCCACCGACTGCCCCGTGAGATGATCTTTGTGGGTCGCGATGACTGCGAGCTCATGCTACAGGTCAGCTGATGACTGCTGTCACTCTCTATGGGAATAGCTCCACAAATACAGGCCCCAATGTTTCAGCACAGGTTAATCCCGCGACAGCTGGGAGCTCCTGCTGGGAACCCGATACTGTACTGAAGTCCTCCTCTGATCTTCCCAACACGATCCCTGAGCTTTTCGGCTTTTCATCACATTCGCAAATTCACCACTCAGTTCTTTATAAGCGCACAGTTTGCAGGGAGTGCACGTATTGCATTACTTCTAAATGTGTAACTAGTGCTGGGTGATAAAATGATCTGGTTTTATATTGTGATTTTATTTCCCTTAGTAATGATAATCAAACATTATTACATTTCAACAATTTGCTTTCAAATTTTCACAAAAATAGACATTACAACTTAGCCCAATCCCATTTCTTATTTTTACCACTACCCCTTGTTTTTCGATTGTCATCTTGCCCCTTGGAACTGAGTTAAAAGGGATAGTGGTTGAAATCTTCTCCTACAAAATGGGACACATCTCAATTATAGAAGAACATTACTTCATTAACAGGCTAATAGTGGTGCTCTATAGGCGACCCTGCCAGTCTGCAGTGATAGCAGAGGAGGGTAGAGTTCAGCAACCTCACCGCTGGGCTTTACTTAAATTTAGAGCATCATATGCCTTCAAAGAGGGGGGACGCCACAATTATTTATTATCGCCCACCTCTAATTCTTCAGTAATATGAAGCTGAAGTCAGCTATTCACCAGCTTTTAAGGTGGAACAGGAAATTTAGTCAGCTAGCTACTGAGACATCAGCATACTAGCGTTTTTTTATGCTTGTTATGAAGATAAAGACCATAACACATTGAAACGACATTAAACCAAGATAATACAATTTTTATAGTTTTTAACAGAGAAAACGCTCACATTTGTGGGTTTCTTTAGTCGCTTGTGCAGCCATCTTGCTGTTTTTTCTTTTTCTCTCATAACGCTCCATTTGGATTGTGCCTCTAAAAAACCTCCCTTTGGAGGGCCATGTAGCTATAGCACTTCACCCTACCCCTCTATCTCAACAAAAATCGGGACACCCTACTCCTAGATGTGAACATGCAAAACGGAGGGGTAGGGCTAAGTGGTAGGGGAGAGGGGTGAAATGGGATTGGGCCCTCATCACTCAGCATGTAGGATTAGCAGAAAGCCACCACAACAGCCAATTAGGAATTCAATCCAGTTAGAAAAAATCGTATGAGTTCTGTTTTTGTTGACTCTAAAGTTTTGTTCTAAGGTTTTGCATGTTAACTGTCAAATGTAAATGATTTTTATTTATATAATTTTTTAGATCTGTTTGTTTTATATTTTATTTATCTTGCTAAATAATTTTGTAGATTACATCAGAATCAGTGTACTGTATGTAAGTGGGAACAGAGTAGGGATGGAGTGGCCTGATTTTGCCCCAAGTAGTTTTTTAGAAAGTCAGAATGTCAGTCTTTTCTCTCTGCCCAGCATTCTTCGATACCACTCCATCCCACGTAAGTAATGCGTTTATAATTATCATGGAAAAAAGGTGTTATGCACACCTTTGCCATACACTTGTACAGCCACGTTGAGCATAAACCACAGACAGTGGCAGCAGAAGTTACTCAGTAATGACAGGCTGTGTGAAATCACCCAAGATGTGTATTATTGATATTTTGTTTACATCTGTATGTGAGATTTACACACTATGGGGGTCCTTCATGTCAAACAGGTTATTTTTAGAGTAGCGCACATGCGCACCTACAGAAGAGTTGGTTATGTAGAATCATGCGCTTTGCTGTTAAGCCATCGGAGTTACCAGGTTTGTGGTTTACCTGTCAGACTGGACTAGTTTGAAAATGGGTTCTCAAGAGAAAATGCTAAACTTTGGGCTGGAGAACTTAAGGAACGCTAAAAATACAGCAAGATCTGTGTTCTTTAAAACGAAAAGCAGATATGATGACTAGCATTAACCAGTGAGGTGTTTGAACTTGATGAATCTGAAATTTGGAATTTATAATCTTTAGGTACTATTAACATTTAACTAAATTAAAGGGAAAAAAAGTATAAAGAGTCAGATATGCTAGCAATTGCTAAAGTGACTACCAGCCGTGTTGCTAATGTTGTGGTGATGTATGTTAACGGCATGGCTGATACTCTAAATGTGGCTGTTAATTGCTGCAGGAAGTTTTGTTCACTGGAATAAAGTGCTGTTTAAGGAACTGACAGGTCGAGAAGTAGCAATAAATTATCTAGTGTTCCAGATAGGAGCACCTCAGGACTGAAGGTGGCTACGTTGAAGAACTGATGCCAAATTTTGCGTATATCTTTAAATACACATAAAACAACTGTGATAAAAAGAGTAAATGATTATTATAGAAGTGAAATAGGTTACAGTTTGCTATATAGGACATACTGTATAAATAAATAAAGGCAATCTAATCAAAATATAAGACAGCATATCTGAAAGCCGCTTGTTGGTTGAACCCACCGTTCCCCCTGAATGTTTTGTACAGCTCGAACACTGCAGTCAATACATGTTTAATCCAAATTACTGATGGAGAGGGTGAATTTGAGTGTGGAGAGGTGACAAATCAAGAACAGGTTCTTTGTGCAGCTGAAAAAAAAACATAATGCATGATGTTTTCTGTGCGCATGTGGAAAAAAATCTGAAGATGAATGCAGAGCTGACATTCAGTGGATATTCTTTCATGTGTGAGCGATTGGTGAGTGGGGAACCAGTCACCCGGAGCGGAGTGATTACAGAACGTTTCGAGCGAGGAATGGAGCCACTCCAATCCACTCCACTGAAGGCTCTGACCACAATAAGCTTTTAGTTTTCTTCAGGCTTCTAAATACTTTCCAGAATTAAAACCAATCATTACAAAATGCATATAGTAATAACTGACAGTTATTGATATTGAATAATATGGAAAACTATATTGTGGTTGTCTAGCACTACATGTAACTGACCAAACTCTTTCAGCATGTCACCTAGGTCATCAGGCTCGGACCACTTTACTCTTTTCCTTAATTTAAGCATTATTCATCTCACACCAAGAACCATGACTGGGATAGAAAGAGATGTTTCCAAGGATTAGTCTGTCTTAATAACCTGAGTGGTTCAATCTGATGCTATCGGGGCGTGTGTGTTAGTCACAGTGTTATATTAATAGAAAGTGGGACAGATAGCTCACAGGTTACTTTTAGACACTCTAGAGGACCTCTACTATGAGTGGGTAAACTGCTCCGCTGCCAAACATTGCAGAGAAGGGTGCCAACACTGTCATGAGGCTCGAAGAATAAGATCCAACTTCAAACCCTGACATATGATGTATCACAGCAGTGAAATGCTAGAGATTGCAGCCAGCACAAGCAAAGCAGTAGAATAATACATACAGCGACATTGTTTAGATTACATTCTATCAAGGATAGGCTTAGGAACATGAGATAGACAGTATATCGACAGCCGAGATCATTTTTGCCAATAAATAGGTAAATGTGAATATTGCTCTTGATACAATGTTAGAATTAGTAATAATAATACTAGCAATTAAATCTGTGTTTATAAAAGGTTTAGTTACAAATTATGAAAGTGTGTTACATAGTTTAGCATCCTGTGTTTAGCTCATGCCTGTCATTAGTGGCGGTTGTTTACCTTCGTGTAAACTCACATATATGAACAGTGTAGTGGATAACACATCATTACCTCACGGGCAGAAATGTGGGGTTCAGCATTCACACAGGAACTCCACTGCTGTACCAATGAGAGAATACCCCAGTATGTGAATGGATCTAGACAGGAATACCTGCTAAATAATACAAAATATTTACATAACATAATGTAAAAACTTTCAAACATTCTCTCTGAATTGACCATGATTTGTCATGACTATATTATATTGTGTAAGAATTTTATTACAGTAAAATTGGTTGGTTTTTGGTATCAGTATTGGACACAATAAAGTGTTAATTATAGTATAATGATACTGTAAATACATCTATATAGGTGTGTATTTAGCCAATTAGTCTTTAGTAGTGATTCTGTTTTTTTATGTCTTTGTAAATCTTTTAGGAATTCCTTTTGTGTCTGTTCTGTTATTTTAGTTATTTTAGTTAATTTATACTTTGTAGATTGAAATATGGGTCTGTATTTTCTTTTTCTTTATTAAGTTCATGCTTGATGCTGTTCAGGTTTCTCAGTCAAATCTACAGCTCTCTTCATGATTCCACACACATCAAAAGTTTCATTATTTTTGATAGCTTTATTTGAAGTTGTAGAGTAGTCTCGTCATGATAGTATCATTTAATACATGTATCCCCAAACTTGAATGGTAGTGTATGTTACTCTTTGAGCGTTACTCTTTGTATATTTGTGTGTCTTCAGAAATATAACACTAGCTCTTAAATTTCAGGCGTGGTCCTGTGAGAGGCATAAACAAGACATTGTTTTGTAAGAGAAGTTCTCTGCCCCCTCTGAACAGCCCTGTGGCCTGGGGACAGTTGGAGAAACAGAGATGGGTTTTGGTCGGGGGTGGTCTGATAGCTTTAAATATCAGTTGTTCAATCATGTGATAACGGTTTTCACAAAACACTTATTACAGTTATCACATGATGTAGACAGAATGGGCTGGTTGTGTGTAAGAATGCTGAAGGTAAACAGTTTGTGCTGGTAAAGTCTAGTAAAGGTTAGAATTCTACTTAAAAGGAAATCCCACTGATTTTTCTAATTTTATTTAGTATTCAGTCATTGAGATAAAGTCGCTCCGAGTGGTATATGAGATGCTCCATTAGAGAAATTTACCAAGCCAGAGCTGTTCACAGTGGTGGTGATAGAAACCAGACATCTGAAGCCTCTTAAAAGCCCCTGTCACAGAAAGTTATTACATGAAATGGGTAGAAATACAGCATCTGATACTTAAAACACTGTTTCATGATAATTTGTATGATAAGATTTGGCCTAAAATGGAGAGGTAAATACAGGATGTTGTAAGGCAAAAGAGCCCCCAAAGAAAAAGTCATTTACCACTAATTTACTGTTTTCAGGATTACATATAAAAACTAAAAAGACACATGTAAGTTCACTGGACATTTAAGGTAGTAAATGAAATGCCTGTATTTAAGTCGTAGACATTGCAACCCCTGGTTCCTCTTACACCACTGTAAAAAAATAAAGAGTTGTTAAGTTTCTCTACAATGAACCACCTGTGAATGACTTTGTTTACATCATAATGATCAAATTATGCAGAAATGAAAAAAAATGTCCTTCATGCATTCAAGAAAAAGCTCTCTTATACAAGAGACTCTGCATTTACTTGTGTTGCCACATGGTTTGTCTGTCAATTTTGAATCTGTTTTTATTATTCATTTACATTTACATAAAGGTGGCGATTCATAACAATGATTTTGGAGTGTTAGAATCAGTCATCAGTGATTACAGTAATAGTCAATGCTGTATAGACACAGACTGGCCACTTCTTTAAGCACTCCTTATTTCTACATTTGCTGTCCACTTACCACTTTGTAGTTCTACAATTACAAACTATAGTCCATCTGTTTCTCTGCATCAACGATCAGGACCCCCACAGGACCACCACAGAACAGGTATTATTTGAGTGGTGGATCATTCTTGGCACTGCAGTGACCCTGACCTGGTGGTGGAGTGTTAGTGTGTGTTATGCTGGAGTGAGTGGATCAGACAGCAGTATCTGGTAAATGTACCTGGTAAAATGGACAAAGAGTGTAGATACATGGTAGCTGTAATTAATGAAGTGGCCGATCTACATATATATATATATATATATATATATATATATATATATATATATGTCACATTTCTAATCTGAGGCGTTCTTTGCAGTGTATAAGTTTATGAATATAAGCTCTGTCGTTCTGTTTGATGTTGGATGACATTTTTAAAGCTAATGTTCTAGATAAAGTGATTTTATTACCTTTCTTTTTCTTTTCATTTTCCACCTATGAGCCCTGAGTTTTGTTTTAATGTGTTATGAGTTTTGTTTTAATGTTATCTTTGCTTCTTTTGTGGTTTTTCTTTGCGTTTTTTTGCCTAATTATCTGGTGTGTGGATTTCTCTGCCTATTGAATGTTCTAGCTGCAGTCTGACTGCTCCTCTCCCTCTCTCCTCAGTGCTTTTACAGCCTCCGATGGTGCCTCATGCCTAACAGGGGTTTATCTTGTTTGACTTGCCTAAATTACTAACTTAGTCAGCAGGGGAACATCAGCAGGTTGCTCAGGAAGCCTGTGTGCTTTTCCAGTGTCTAGCTTTGGAAGCCATTAAAAAAACCATGAAGGTCTTTTGCCACAAAATCTCCCTCTGTCAAATCCATAAGCCCATTTATAATGTGGGCATTGGAGAAGATGACTGATCTTTTTCTGATTTTTTTCCTCATAATCATATCAAACGCTTGGTGAATGTAAATAATCTCTCCTTCAGACAGTGCAAGGCTGATTGTTGAATGCTTTTGTCTCGGCAGTGAAGCTGCTGCTGAAAATAGCCTCAGTCTTTATAACTGACAATGTGTGGAGATAAAAGTCTCCCTTCACTAACACTTCTAATGTGTGCGTGTGTGTGTGTGTGTGTGTGTGTGTGTATAGTCTCGCAGCGTAGACAAGCAGCACGCAGTGATCAACTATGAATCCACCAGTGATGAGCACAAAGTGAAGGACTTAGGGAGTCTAAATGGGGTGAGTAACTGACCACTAGTCCAGCGTGAAAGTGTGTTATTATAGCCGGTGACTAAAACTTAGTAATTACTAAGCAGTAATGATGTTTTTACTGAAACAATGGTCATACAAATGTCTGATTGTTTCTTTGTTCAGCTTACTCTGAACTCTTTTCTTGAATATGTATTCAGTTTACTGTTGTGCCAGAACAGCCTTCTCTAATTTAACATTGGTCATGTCTTTCGCACAGCGGTCAGTGTTGGTTGGTTCTGTTTCATGTGTTATTGTTAGTGCGTCTCCCTCTGATTGAGGTCAGTAGAAGCAGCTCTGTGTGACACAGTTTCTAAAACAGGAAGTGCGACTCAAAGCTCTTCCCGTTGAGTCATGCTTTGGTATTCCTCTTCCTGCCCAGTTGTGGCAGGAAAATCTTCACTGCTGGACAAATTAAATCCTGACTGCATAACCGCCCTCTCCCTCCTCCCCTCTCCCTCCTCCCCTCTCCCTGCTCCCTCTCCCTGCTCCCTTCTCCCTGCAGTTCTGCCATTTTTGCTCTTTGAGCTTTCTGCTCACTGTTAATCATCAGAAGTCCAGTTATTGTTGTCTGTGCTTTTGATTTACACTACATACTTATCTAAATGTATTTTGCTGCTTTTGGAACAAAACCTTGTATCTCCATTTTCGTTGTTTTCCAGTTTTTAAGTAATGTGAAAATGCCTGTTGCCCTTTATATTGTGTTGAAATTTCATGATGAATGGAGAAAAAAAGGAAACGGCCCAAAATCTGGTTCCACTGACTTACATTAAAAGTAAAGTGTGTTTTTCCTTCTCCTATAAAGTTGTCAATCTGGAGATATGAAGTTTTGTTCTGACAGCAGCAATTTACATAATTTTATAATTAACTACACATTTATGTGAAAGATTACATTCAGTTCTGATTTTACTTTCCAGTGAAAACCAGGTTAACCAAGTTATTCATTTTTCAGCATCAAGAAAAAACATAAAATTGATAAGAGAAGCCTTATTAATAATATCAATTTTTCAGTATTTTATTTGTGTCCACGCTTTGCTTTTATTACAGCTTCCATTCTTTTTAGGAGACTTGCTTTCAGTTTTTCAAAGAAACCCGAAGGGATATTTTTCCACACCTCCAAAGTTCAGTCTTAAAAGTTGGTTGCATTTTCCGCTTCTCATGATCCAAGTATTCCCAAACACATTGAGTAATTTTGAGTTTTTTTGATTTTCTTTTCTCAGTGAGGCTTCTTGACATCTACACATCCTTTCAGACTCATAGTACTGAGTTGTCTTCTCGCAGTGGAAGGATGGACAGAAACACCTGTGGATTTTTTCAGATGTGAAGCAAAAGTGGAGCTTGATTTTCTCCTCTCTCTCATAGATGAAAGCCTTAAGTGCTGTTTATCTGATGGGGACAGTTTTGGTGGTCTGGTCTTGTACAGTTGTTAGGAGCCCCATTTTATCTGTGTCTTTTAAACAGTTTTTAAACTCCAGATTTGGAAACCATGTTTTTTAACTTATTTTCAATTGACTTTGTCCTTCTAGCATTATTGTGATATATTTTTTACAGTATGCTGTTCCAGTTTATCAAAACTTAGAAAAATTAAATATCCTGATACATATCATGTATTGTCATGTGATATTTTTGCCATATTGCCCACCTCTAGGCTGGGGAATGCATGAATCAGCATAACAGGAATCTGCTCCCCCCCTGACTATGGTTGTCCATTACAGAGTTTTTGTCCTTCAATGTGAAATAAAGAATAAGACACTCAGCTTTTTGGGGGAAAACTTTAAACTGGGCTGTTGTGAAAGTGCTTTGTCAGTGAGATCAGCTCCCTTTCCTTTCACTCTGCTGGAAGCCAGTGATATTTGAGACGGAGCAGGCGTCAGTGCTCAGGCAGCCAAGATACGCTCTCTCACTCACACACACACACACACACACACACACACACACACACACACACTTGTTTTCATACAGTTTCAAGACATTGGGTCATGTATAAGCCCCATACAGATAGTAAAAAGATTTGTCGAAGCCTAAACCTAACCCTGAATTTAACATCACTTAACACAAAGATTTGTTTTTTTCTTTTTCAGGTTTAAAAGATGAATCATGACAATACTGTGCAAAAGTCAGAGACCACTCCTCATTATTTAGTTTCCAGTCAAAAAAGCCATTAATTACAAGTTGTTCACTTTTCACAAGATATTTCTGAGAAGATTAGATATAAGATGATCCACTTGCAAGAGATGAGAAAGTTAAAATTAAAATATACCAAGAAAATTGGACTTTTAACAACGGTGTAGGACCTGGTAGACCACCAAACCTGTCACCATCAGATAAACAATAAAAACTTTCATCTTTGAGAGAGAGGAGAGATTCAAGCTGCTTCAGAACTGAAAAAATCCACAGGTGTTTCTGTCCATCCTTCCACCGTGAGAACTCGCTATGGGTCTGAAAGGATGTGTAGCTGTCAAGAAGCCCTTGTTAAGAAAAGCAAATCAAATGAACCTCAAAAATCACTGACTGTGTTTGGGATTACTTGGATTGTGAGAAGCATTAAATGCGACCAACTTCTATGACCGAACTTTGAAGATGTGGACAAACATTCCTGCAGATTTATTTGAAAAACTGAAATTAATTAAGGAAGATCTCTCACTTTACAAAGTAAGCTCCTGCCATTGTGTTAGTCCTGGCATTTTATGTAAGCTGTTTGTCTTTTTCTGTTCTGAGAGAGTACTAAAACAAACACATACACACACTCAGTCACAGCAGAAGGACTAAAGACTTTATGAGGTTGTGCTCATTGTGACAGTATGTTTAAGTTTGTTAATCCTGTGTTGAAGGAGTAGCCATTTGAAGTTGGCTTTAACGAGAGAACAGTGTGTTTTATGAGCTGTAGAGGAAAGCGGATGGGAGGCCAGTCTGCAGGAATGTGATTCGGAGTTACTCTCTCTCTGAGAGATTTGGAGATTAAAGTCCCAGCACACATGATTATTTCTTGACTTGCGATGTTATGTAGTGGATTTGGTTTTACATCAGATTAAAGAGGCCAGGATCCAGTGATATTGACTTAATTCAGTAAACATCAGCAGTGTAATCCTTTTGAGGTTTTGGACAAGATGGGAAAAAAAACTTTTTCTTTTATCCTTTGCTGGAACTCTTCCTTTGCAGCATCTCCTATGACATGCCAAGCTTCATGTGACCTCTGTGAAAGATTTTTTCATCACCATCTAGTTTTGCATGCATTTTTACTGGGTGATAGAAATATTTCTGAGCAGAGGTTTGAGATCTCAGTGTAAGGAACAGTTTCCATCTGCTTTCAGACATTTGTGAATGATGTTCGAATCCAGGAGCAGATGTACATCACTCTGAAGATTGATGACAAACTGAGGTTTGGATATGATATCCTTATACGCTCGCCTGCTGTCAGTGCCTGTTACAGACTCTACATGACGTGTCAGTTTCCTGTGTCTTTTTTATTGTGCAGCCTTTGTGTGTGTGGATAGGTGTGAGTGTATGCATAATAACATGTTTGTATTAAATGGGAATTTCACCAATTTTTCAAAATTCCTATGTAAGTCAGTGGTTGATATGTAAACAAAGTCATTCAGAGTGGTTTGATGTAAAACAGTTCACTGTAAAGAAACATACTGACTTGGATTTCCTTACAGTGGTGGTCATAGGAACCAAGGGGTTGTGATGTCTACAACACAAATGTAGTCATTTTTTTACTGCCCAAAATGACCTGTGAACCCACACGTCATCTGAGTTTTTATATCGCTGCTGTCGGAACAAAACTTTCGTTCTCCAAAATGGTAACTTTACAAGGAAAATGACAAAAATGGAAAAATTCCAACAGCAGCGATATGTAATGTTGATAATGGGAAAATAAGGGTTTATCTGAAAAAATTGGTTTTCTTTGGGGACTATTTTGCCTTACAACAGCCTGTATGTATCTCTCTGCCATGAATGAATTAAAAAAATATATATTATACGATCCTAAAATAGTGGACACCAGACATCAGGCAGTATATTCGTAACAGTTTCATGTAATAACTTTCTGTGAGGGAGTTTTTAGATGCTCTAAACTCTTTAGACGTCTGGTTCCTATCACCACCACTGTGAACAATTCTGACTCAGTAAGTTTTTTAAGAACTAAGCATTCCATGCATTACTCTGAACGACTTGATTACATCTTAACAACCTCATTATGCAGAAATTTTGAAAAATGGGTGGAATGCAATGTACAGTTTGTTAATCATAATCCTATTACTGATATCATAGAAAGCTGCAATATGCAGTTGAGCCCTCCACCCAATCACAATGTTTGGTGCACTGTGTTGTGAACATCTTGATCAATCACAGTTCCTGATGAGTGTTTTTTTTTCATCTGCAAATGTATTTTGATATCAAAGTATTCGTACAGTCCAACGAAATGAAGTAGTTTTTGAATACAGACCAATCCTTAACCGTCACATTTTTGATTTTCCAGTCAAACCTAATATTTCATAATACATTCAGAGACTTTAGTTTTGCCCCCTGTAACTCATTAAAATCTGCCCCCAGAATAGTTACAGTATGTGCGAGACCATGTTCGGTAGGGATGTATGTTGATATCTGTATCATATCATTACCAGCAGATAATTGGTTGAAAATTATTAGACAAATGATTCGATTTGATGATATTTCAAACTGATATTTGATGATGTGTTTATTGTACTCCACAAGAACAGAATGCACTGGGCTAATATGCTAAAACGGGTGTGTTTCAGTCATTTTATTGCATTTGTAACCATGCAGAAACATATGTTATATTTCTCTGTAATGTTAATCCAGGTGGATGTGTTGACGGTTGTGTGCCGGCTTTGAAAGAGTCAGGCGCTCACAGAGCAGGCTGTGGTTAAAATGTTTAATAAGGGCTGATCCAGAATCGTAGTACAAAAACAGGTAAGGGTCCATACACGGGCAAACGGGGCAAGGCAGGGTAAGCTAAATCAGAATGAGAGAACACGAGCTAGAGGTCATTACATGAAAGGAAAACAGAGTCAAAAAGTGGGTCAGGCTAGAATCGAGAACGAGAGAACGAGAAAGAAAACAAACTGGGACGTCAAACACAGAAATAAAGTAATGCACAGCAGACTGATACAATACTTCACAATGAGGCTACAGACACAAACAGGTTATACAGACACTAGAACAGGTGTCAACAATCAATAATCAGGTGAATGGGAGCGTGGATAGGTGAATGGTTGAGAGTCTGTGGTCATGTGATCCCCAGAGGATTCTGGGAGTTGGAGTTCTGAACGGAGTGAGGAGTATTAGTCTCTGCAAAGGCATGAAAGGTTGTTAGATTTTCTAAATATTTATGTATCAGCATAGACAGATATGTACAAAAAAATATCGAATGTCAGCATCAGCTCACAGTTCATAGTCATATCAGTGCATCCCTAAAGTTCAGCATGGTATGGATCACCATGTGGGACTGGACCTTTCTGTGGGCCTGTGTGTTTTCTATCACTATATAAAAGAAGCACCATGCTGCCCGTATTGTTGGATGCGCTAAGCAGAATTCTGAAATAATGATTGGTTTTATCAGAGTATCAGTAAAAAATAAATATATGTAGTTGTGACAGAAGCAAGTTAAAACATTTTCAGCTTTGCTAGATTATATTCTTTACATATCAAATAAATGCAGTGACAGCTTTGAGACATCACAGTATTAATGACGAAGTGATGATTTAGTGGCAGAAATATCTACTTTTTTGTATTGACCTCAAAGAATTAATATAAGACATGTCAGATTCACAACTTGTAGTGTTATTATCACAATATTGGTATTTTTTCCATGTTATGCGGCCTCAGTTTAGTTTATGTTATGTTATGGTCACATTGTCTACTTTTTATTTTTCAGTTTCCTTTTTTTTCTGTCAGTCTTTTTTTACTCTTGTGTTTTGTGTGACTTGTTTTGTGAATTGTTACCGCACTATTTTTGTTATGTATGATATGTCTACTGGACCCCAGGAAGAATAGCGGCTATCACAATAGCAGCTAATGGGGATCCTAAAAATAAACAATAGATAAACAATAAACAATATGTTTGCACAGTATCGACAAACTGTACGAACATACTGTATAGGCCTGTGAGTTGTTCTTCACCCTTAACCTGTCTCACATACCAACTTGTTCACTGTGGTCCGGGGAGAGCTTCATGTTCCAGAGGAGGCTCTAAAGGTAACATACACCAACTCTGTTTACCTGTAAATACAAAATGCAGCAACTCTGTTTACTGGATAAATATGATATTCATTAACTTTGTTTAGCAGTAAATACAGCATGTTTTTAGCATATTTTTAAAGTAACACCCAAAGTTGTCCTTCCGGTCAGGCTGGGGGTCACATGATTGGTGTTCTTCTCATCCTGTAGCAAAATAGCCTGTGTGTTTGCATATTAAAATCTGATGACAGGTGATGTTTTCTGTCTGACTGTGTTCTTCTTTCTGTATCTCTGTCAGCATGAGAAGTTCACCAGCCAACTCCAGCTGGGAAAGAAACCCACCTGTGCAGAGCCCCCCAAAATGCCTAAGTCTTCCCCAGCCAAAGCCGCAGAGAGCAAGGCTGCGGAACCCGTCACTGAGCCTCTTGCCAAACCTGCAGAAGCCAGCAAGGCAGATGAGAAAATGCCAGGTGAATACATGCAGCTTTTAACAGATTATACAGTGTATATGATTAATCATACACTGTATATCCAAAAGGTTTGTAGTAACAGCCTCTGCTATTCTATGAAGACTTTACACTAGATCAGCGGTGTTCAACTAACTCTTGAAGAGGTCCAGCGACATCAAATGTCTTGCTTACAAAAGTCTGGATAAAGTTAAAACAAGTGAATGCCAACAATGATTTAAAGTGTTTTATCTTTAAATGCTTAACTATTAATGATTAGGCCAGGTAACCAATAAAGTAAAATAAGACACGTTATATTTTGACAAACTGTTTCATTTTGAACTTATTTTATCATCAGATGAGCATTTAAAAGTGTAAGGCAATTGGCTATTGTTAGTAAAATAGATAAATAAATAAATAAAAACAATAATGAAAGTTATTCTCAAGTAGAATTTCAGGTTCTTGCGCTGTCCTCCAAACTACTTTTTGTTGGTAGGTCAGTTTGAAGTGTTTCGCAGTGGAGCTAGTGCTTAATGTTTCCACTTTTGACCAGCACCACATACACTGAACTGATGAGATGCATCGATTTTGGACATGAATCAGGGAGAAAAGCACAGAGTTCTCCGTTCATTTATTTTTAAACACTGTTTTGTTTTCAACGAGCCCTGTTGGTGCTTCACTACTCAGACCAGAAATAGTAAATAAACTAAAAACATCTATGAAAATATGTGAAATAAATTCTGACCTGATATCTAGCCCTGCTGTCTCTGTTCGGATGAGCTGCCTTCGGCGAAGTCATTGTGACTGGATAAACTGCAACACGGTGCTGCTACACAAGCTGTGTTGGCTCATGTTTATATATGTCGCTGAATTTTTGTTACATACTTAAATCGGCTTTGCTGCAGAATTTTTTAAGCGCTTGGCTCGATCCGCTAAAATACTGGGATCAGCCATCTGTCATAGACATAATTGTGTAATATCATTGTGAAACACAAACACAAAATTATGAGCTCTTTATATTTCTTTTAAATCTCATCAGCTCCCTTTCAAGCACTTACTTTACTGCTTTCCTTCTCTTACATCCTCCCAAGCTTGGCTTATCCATACACATCACATCCTGCTTTGAGTCATGGCTTTTGTGAGATACTTGTAATAATAACTACTGAAATTGAAACAGAATTATAGCCACTCTGTCCTATCCTTCCAAATGCCTGTGGTCTGACCAACAGTTTTCCTCTCTGTCAGCATTGCTTGAGAGTAATCATTATGATCTATTTTTAACCAAGACACTGACCAGTGGCAACTATAAGTGACCCTCTGCCATCCCATACTAGGCATCATTAAATTTTCTACTGTCTCACCACAGCACTTCATGTGATACATAAAACCTACACAGCCTTGAGTTAGCAGATACAGAGTTGAGTTACAATCTGTAGTGTTCATTTATGCCCAGCTGTGCACAGATAACACCAAAAGAAGTAATTCAGTACTATAAAAGTGAATCCAACTCTGTAACTTCATTTAACTTTGAAAAAATGAGTTAACGTGAATTAACATTATAAGCGTTTACTCAACACAGTAAGAGTCACTGTAAGGCTGAATGATTTTAGGAAAAAACTAATTGATTTTTTTTCTTACTGATATTATGACAGTGATTTAAATTTTATTTTCTATAGTTTAAGGTCCAGGCCTGTTTTTATTTTTATTTTTTTTTTTGAGAAGAAGATTAACATATGTACTTTTTCTGGCTTGAGGCTTAATCGCTGCCTGCTAGTTATGCCTGTGTTGTCACGTAAACAGCCCATGGGTGTTTGGTTGCTTTGGGTTGAGCTAACTCATCTGCAGGCAGTTCACAAACTCTTATCTCTTATCACAAACTGTTAGTAGGTTCAATTTCCCCACTTAAAACTTGACAAAGTTCTTAAAGGTTATTATATAATATAAACTATAATTAAAATTGCAGTTCTTCAAATCAGTCTTTCAGCCCCTTTAAGAGTTTATTGATTATATATTATTTATTAACTCTGGGGATTTTGCCTTGGAGTCTTATGCTTAAAACAGAAAAATCACATTTTATCTTAAAACAGGGTTTAAATAAGGCTGCCAATAAAGAATCTGGCCTCCAGTGTTTGGCTGTGTTGGAAAAACTATGACCTTTGCTTGGCAGAGCCACAAATGGAATATACAGTGATGACCTTTGAATCCTATTAGAGAGTCGTGTTATTGGTAGAAGTTAGAACTCACCAGGGGCATCACTAGAGGTTCAAGGATAGGGGGGCTAAGCCTGTACTAGGGGCGTCTGGGTGCATGGTCTGTTCATCATGAAGTTTTAGAGTAGAAACAGCCAGAAAATGTATCAAAATATGGCTATTTGGTCAAACTGGTCCACAGTAGATCTGTTTCTTTGTAGTCTGTATTAAATACAGAGCTAGTATGACTTAAACACTGTATCATCCACTTACAACAGACACAGATCAAGTGAAAGGTACTGAAGTCAAGCTATGCTATCTCCTCTCTTAGATAAGCTGCAAGGTCCTAAATGTGTTATTCAAATATACAGCTTATAGTTACATTTCATGGTCATAGTGACAAAATATTATATTTTCTCACATAAATTGAATTAAATTCCACATTAATTTTAACTAAAAGCTTAAACAACTCTCCCTCACTTTCGTCCTGATCACTAATCTCCATCAGATCTGCTCCTTCAGTGCTGTCAGTCTCCTTAAGCTTCTTTCTCTCCTTTTCTTCCACACTAGCTAGCTACACTAAAAAGTACAAAAAACTACTAAAACAGACAAATCGCCTCACTTAGAATGACTTGATCGCAAAAGATCTGCTGGAGGTTTGAAAAGTCTTTGTTTCATTTACGTCATTTACGTGTGGTCAGATAGGCCATGTTCAAACACTGCATTTGGTGTCAGGAGGGAGGCAGCTGCAGCTGAAGAAGTTGAGAACCACTAGTTTGAATGCCTGCATGCATGCCAATAGAAGGTAATGCATTTTAATGTGTATTTTGAAAAAGTAAACAGTAGGACACTCATCCATTCATACTTGAAACTGACACCATAATAAACCTAATGTAGACAAAGTTGAGATACTAAATGTAGGCTGTATTAATTTTACGCTTAAATGCTTCAGATGCAAATGAGCGAGAAATCTGGTGTGTATCAGTGGTCTACATAATCTCAGGCAGCTTTAGCTGAGCTAGATTTACCATGTCCTGCTCATCTTGTTTCATTAACTACCACTTTATATTTAACCCTGTGTAATTATGAGCATGGCATGGGGCTGCAGTAAAGTGCAGGGTGTGTAATTACAGGGCAGTGACAGACCCCACACCCAGAGCTCTGTTTTTCTGGTCATCAGAAAAGGAAAGGCGGTTGGCATTTTCCATGCGTTCTTATCTCATTGCCACCTGGTTATTTTACCCAGATAATATCACCCTTGTGCTAGAATGCCTCCAGTGCTCCAGCAGCACTCCATGGCCTAAATATATCCTCCAAAAAAGGCTTAAACACTTACTAGATTAATATGGAAAATGCAGCAGCCTGTAAACATGTAGCAGTGTTAAATAATCCACAGTGGCAGAACGAGTGTTTTCTGGTATACACACTGTAAGCTTTTAGATATATTAATATAGCTCACTGAAAATTGGAAAGCTGCACATTTTACTCTATGTGATCTAGGGGTATTGCAAAAATACAATACTAGATACTCGAAGAAATTGTTTTTTATTCGTTTTCATATGCTGCACTGCACTAAATCCAATTAAACAGGACTAGTTATGCTGTCTTTCATCATTAAAAACATGCTGATGATCGGTGTCATGAGTACTGATTATGTTCACAATATGCTCAGAGGAGTAGTCTGTAACATAATTTATCACAATATGATAAAACGTTGTCATATTGTAAGCCCCTAATCTATTGTGTAATATCTGATTCATAAATGTCCACATCATTTCACAAAGGCTAGTGTTTATTTAGCTGTTTACATACCGCTTCAGCACCCATAAGTCTGAAATTGTAAAGTTTCCTCTGGTCTGTATTTTCTCTGAGTTTGCCTGAGTACAAATCTGAAGAAACTTTTCAAATCGATCAACTATAAAGGGAGTTTACGTCACTTAATTTGATTTGGTCACATGGGACCACTTAATTTCACACAATAGAAAACCCAAATATGATTGTTAATAAAAGTGCAAAAAATAACATAATTAAAGCATCACTTGAGTACTGTTAGATGCTCAAACGAGGTATAACTACACAAAATTTCAGCTCTCTAAACCAAACAGAGGTTTTGCAGGACGTTTCTTTACCATAGAAAAAAGATTAGTGTTAAAATGTAATAGGGGTTTAGTTTAAGACTTGATGAAATGTATTCAAAGTGATAGACAGATCAGCATACACTGAATGAGAGGTGGAGTTGCCTTTTCTTGTTGTAGGGGACGTTGCAGCTCTGCACAGAGGAACACCTTTGTATGGACAGCCATCCTGGTGGGGCGATGGTGACGCTGATGACGAGAATTCGTTCAAGCAAGAAAATAAAGCATCTGGGAAAAAACAGGAGACGCCTGGGGCAGGTAAATCTTCCATTTCATTTCATAGCAGTGGTTTTAGAATTCACCTCTTTATCTTACCTAATTAAAGCTTGATTGATTATGATCACAGTACCTGGTCATTTTTTCCAAGTAGCCTAATTTCTGTCAAATAAATGCCTTTTCGGGTACTTTAGGCATTTGACAGTTGTAGAATGTAGAAGAGTAGAAATTGACCTTTTTATTGTGATCAGATCAAAACAGCGTGAAAACATCATCATAGTATTTTTATTCTCTATTTGAATAAGTTGATTTTTGGGGCAACAGGGTTTTGGGGCTGCAGAGTAAAGGGAACTGCTTAAAAAAGAGCCATTTAGTAAAAAGCCTTATAAATAACTGTTTTATAGAAGTTGTGACCATTGCAGTGTAAATGAATCTTGTTGTTCTGTTGTCACTTGCTAAGAGAGAAAAAAATAAAATAGTATATCTACAAAAGCAACCATACTGGGTATATTCTGTCAAACAGATGCACGTTTAATGCTGCTAGCTTAATCTAGGAAGAGCAGGCACCAAATTAGACAGTCTTGGTCTTGGTTGTGGTGTGTTTTGGTCTTGGGGTTTTTGATCCCATTAACTCGTGCCATGCAGGATTAACAGGATTGGGATTACTGAGCCTTTAGCACAGCAGGATGCTCTGTGTGTGAGCTACAGTGGACAAAGGGAGTCCAGACTAGTAGCCACTTTAATGCAGAAAGAAAGCAAAGAATTAAACTGTTTCATACACAATATTTATATAAATGTAATGTATGTGTGTTTTCTTTTACTGAAATCTTTTACTGTACTGTTACAGCTCCATTCACATGGGTATATATTAAGGGTATAACCATTTGCAAGATTCATAGTACTGTCCCATGTTGTCTCATTTGAATACATTTTGTAATACAAGAAAATAACATGCTGTTTTTAGCAGCATAGAAACACAGAACAAACAAGGTGGTTTATAATGCCCTGAGCTAACATGCTAGCCATGAGCATATATGTTAGCTCTGTGCTAATGTGCTTGCCCTGAGCTAATGCGTTAGCCAAGAGCTAACTCGCTAGCCGTGATACAGTACTGGCAGGTAGTTCAATTAAATTGAATAAACTGGATTGTCCCACATGGGGAAGCATGACTTGGATTCACTGTGACTGACCATCACAGTAAACACATTAAAACAAACAAATATACAAACCTTATACATATACTAGAGCACTTTTTCATCTGCAGCACCATTCACCCTGATATTTTATTGTCAAAAATGGTTCAATTAGACATCAATCCTTATCTACTGGTATGGGGGTTTTCTTATTAATAGAACGTACAACAAAACACTATTATTGCCTATTATTATTATTATTATTAATGCTGGAGCACCACAAGGATGTGTGAGTTCTCCGCTTTTGTTTACATTGTATACAAATGATTGTGAAGCTCAGGAACTGAATTTTATTTTTAAATATTATGATGATTCTACGTTATTAGCTCTGTTGACGAATAATGATGACATCAGTCTATTTCAACAGGGTGTTAATGGTCTTGTAGAGCGGTGCAATCAGAATGCTCTAATTATCAATACAAATAAGGCAAAGAAGAGATTATTTTTGGTCTCTCTCCTGATTCATATCCACCTCCTTTAAGAATTCATAATCAGGAAATGAAGCAGGTTATGTCTTTTAAACGCCTTGGTGAACATATAGATGCAACATGGAACTATCATGGAATAGTCATGTCTGTAGTAAAGTACAGCAACATAATAATCAGATTTTATTTTTGTTTTACACTACAGCGATCCAGAGCATGATGTAATACTGTGCGAAAGTTGTCTTTCGTTGAAATGAAAGACAAGATCACTTAGACTGATATGAGTCTGTTCCAAGATTGCAGGTCAATCTTTGGAGGAGAGTTTAACAGCCTGTAAGAAAAGTATGGAAAGATTAGCATGTAGTATTTTGTCTAGTCCATCACAGGCGCTAGATAGTGAATATAGTATTTTGCCTTTAAATAGACGTTTCAAAGTACCAAAGTCAAGATTTAATAGGTTTAGAAGCTCTTTTATCCCTCACTCAATTATGATAATCAAAAGAGCAAACTGTTTAGATAAATACACGTGTAGTAACATTGATGCTTGTTGTGCAGTGTTGGAGTAGTAAGAAGTATTGTGGAATTTGGTGGTGGTGTAAAGTGTACTGTTGTGGTTGTAAAGTGTTTGTGTTTGTCTGATTGTTTGTGAAAATCCGCCCCCCCACCGCAAATTTCAGAGAAATCCAACAGTAAAGTCTATTTCATCTTTTCGTAACATAAAATTTATGCTTCCAGGCCCTTCCTCAAGAGGTGGCAGTCTTTGGAAGTGTGAAAGTAATGTAGAGTGCATCCTTGCCAGCCTGGTAATGCTGATAGACAGTTAAATCTTATATAAAAGTTTGGGCGGCCTTAGTCAAACTACAAATTGTGTTTAATGAGTTCAGCCCATGCCTTCAACATGGTGGTGGTAGTATGAGGGAAGACTGATTGAGGGAGGGGGAGAACTCTGAGAGTTCTGGGCAGCTTCTGCCTGTATCTAGAAGGCCAGACCCCCCCACTCATAGCTGTAGGAGGACTGATGTAGGACTGAGGAACAGGGAGGAGATCGGGGGGGGGGTTATAGGGTGTTAGATTGGAAGAAGGAAGGTTTTCCAGCATGTTCCTCCCCCTAAACTTCAGTTATAACAAAGTACATTAAATAGGCATTTTCTGTAAATTCTGCAAATTCAGTATGTTAAGCTCAGCATTTTCTTGCTGAGCTGAACATATTGGGAAAAAAATCAAACTTTCAAATCAAATCAAAATTGCTTTCACTTAGAACAGCAACAGAACATTTAATTTCACCAGGGGCGCCTGAACTTTTGTGTTTATAAAATTATAAAAAATAAAAAAAATGAAACAGTCTTTGTTTGTAAATGTACCGTAGCTTCATAGCTCCAATAGCTCAGATCATCCTTTCTTTCTTTTAAGGCCCATAAATATGAAGGTATTCGTGCCGTTGAGTGCTCTTTAATTGAATTCCCCTCAGACAGCGCCCTCTCTGTTAGAGCAGGCAGTAAATATAGCCTCAGCCAATGGCCCTGCACCTTTCTGAGCTAATGTCCGGCAAATGTACTTTTCAAGGGAAACGCTGGACACTCAAGGGCATTGTTTAGATAGGTCTTACATTCTTTCAGCACCTAAAACAGTGTGTGCGGGTGACGGAGGTCGAGCAGCTCTTTCTGAATCAGCACTATTTCCCTCACAAACATAAAATCACGGTTGTGCCAGAAAGGAAGAGAGGCAAACCTTCATGCAACCGCTCCCCACATCAAAGCACCTCTGCTATTTTTAGTCTGTGGTGAAGTCTGCTCTTCCTCAGTGAAAGGTAGCGGCGCTAGAGTAGCTAGGAGGGGAAGAGGGAGAGAATGGAAGGGAGCTGTGAATAGGCTCATTTGTAGCCAGGCCCAACCCCCTCGCTGTGTATTGTCACCGAAGGGTTCTGCATTTGACTCTGTGTCATCAAACTGCCGCACCTCCTACAGATGAAACCTACAGAAAAGTCTTTTGTGAGTATTGTATTTATTTTTTTAAGACGATTTTGAACGTAGAGCGTTGGATATCTTCAGGAGGGAATGTTAATGTAGTAATTGTGGCCATGCTGTTACATATTGCCGCTGTAATAAGAAAAACTTGTTGTTTTTTGGCTGCTAACTTAAAATCTCTGGCTTTCTTTTACATTTAATTGGCAAACTGACCAATAGGAATGGCCTAAATTACCCAGAAAGAAATCTCATTGTCCATTGGCTCTGTTAACACTGTTTTTCTATTGCTATAAAGTTGACTTTCATGTCACAAATCATTGTACGACTTGACTTTCTGCCTCGGTTTACAGGAACTGTGTGACGCCAAGCTTAGTAAGAGTAATTACACTAATCATGTTGTTTGTGAAAAATATGGTGTTGTTGATTGTGGTGCTGGATTTGTGGGGAGCTGGGCAGAGTTATTTTTCTGATTCAAGTTTCAAACTGGGAGCTGTGTGCTCAGAGAGAGAGGAAGTGCAACAGTATTATTTTAAAACAAGAAGTTTCATCATCCTTCTGACCTGATGTTAATTTAGTAAACTCCAGATCACAGCAAAAGGGCGTCTTCCAGTTTCGAGATCAAAATCTGTATAGCTTATGTTGAATTGGCTGTGCATGTTTGTGGCAGTACTTGAGGAGGCTGAGGACATGTTAGACCTTTAAATTACCAGGCCCTGTTCATGGTCCATAACTACATTCCTGATATATACATTATATCATATACATATACATTCATACATATATATATATATATATATATATATATATATATATATATATGAGTTTCATAGTAGTAACTGAATTAGAAGCCTTAAGTTAATAACAGGATAATAAACCTGGAATTAAATGGTTAAATGAAATCTGACCCTGCACATGAGAGAAAAGTCTGTCTCCAAAGCTGAGAATTAAACGTTGATTATTTTTTTGCGGGTTTTTACATACTTCTCTCTTTCTTTTTTTATGTGAAGTCAGTTGATGTCATTCACAGAAAATCCCTCTGTGATGTTGGGAAGTTGGGAGGATGATCTTATTCCAGAGAAGAACAGCATCATCACTTCAGAAACAGATGTGCTAGGTTTAGTGATCCTTACATGATAAAATATGTAAAAAAATAAAGAATGAAAGAAAAGAAAAGGAAAAAAAAGCAAAAATAAAGCTTTAGACTATAAGTGCTAAAAAACAGAGATGAGCAGTCGTCTAAGATTTCTATCAGTATCGGTTGATAATTATTGAAAACAAAAAAATTGTAGTTTTGACTGACATTTCAAAACGATACTTGATCAGGTTGATTTACCTGTTGAAGAACAGAGCATTTAGGCGATGCTGGGCTACACTTTTAAAAAATAGTTCCTTAAGTGTTTTTCAGTAAAGGTTATGGTTCTGTTAAGAACCAGGAGCACTCAAACATCCATTTAAATGGATAAATGGTTCTTCTCTGTGTGCTATATAGAACTATGAACACTCAAAGAACCCTTTCCATGATTAAAGGGTTTGCATCGTGAAAATGTTCTTCAGATTGATGGAGAATATGCTGCAGATGGTTCCATATAGAACCTTTTTGAAAAGGGTTCTATGTAATACCAAAAATGGTTCTGCTATTGCTATGATGTCAGGCTTGTCACAATAGAAGAACCCTTTTTGGTGCTATACAGAACCATATACAACACATTCTCCATCAATCTGAAGAACCACTTCATAATGCAAAGAACCACTTAATCATACAAAGGGTTCTTTGAGTGTTCATGGTTCTATACAGAACCATTTTTCTTTACTAAAGAACCCTGGAAGAGAGTCTTTTTTCAAGTGTTTATGATGGAAACGTGAAAAGTTGTGTATGGTTCTTTAAAGCACAATTTTAAAAATGGTTCCATATAGTACCAAAAAGGGTTCCACTGTTATGATGAGCCAAAGAGCCCTTTTCAGTGTTATACAGAACCCCTTTTGTTTTGAGTCCTAAAATGTCTGCATTTAATTCATTTTACTTTTTGTAACCCTGCAGAAATAAGTGTCATGTGTCTCCATAATGCTAATACTGGTAGTTATAACTTTACATTTTGAAAATGTTTGTATATTAGTATGGTGACTTTGGCGTTGACGGTTGTGTACATGATACAATTCAGACATCTGGATCCCCATATCAGTTAGGGCTGAGCCATTTGAGAAAACATATGGTTGTGATTTTTCTGACTGCGACTGCAGTTTAAATTGTGATTTTTTTTAGGCCTGTGTTTTTTTGACCAGACTATCTACTGTCCAGTTTTTCTAGTTAATGCTTGAATGCTGAAAAACACCAAACCACCTGTTAGCTTTGGTTGCGTTGAGCACAGAGCATAGGTGTTTGGTTGCTCCTGATTAGTCCACGTTATTGGCTTAAATTTCTGTACTCATAACTTTTTAAGACAATGGTGTTAATAATATAGGCTATAATTCATAATTCTTGTGATTTGAAAATTGCACTCTTTCACATTGTGATTTCAATTAAAAAAAAACAAAACAAATCTTTTAATCCTAATATTAACGCATCCCTACTAATAATTATTTTAACCTTTTCAACTCCTTGGAACCACTGTTGGTTCCAAAACGTACTTCGTCATATTTTCATAACTTTCATATTTCATAAGCTACATTAAAAAGGTGGGTGTCATATGAGAGCTGTAACTGTCTTCTTTCCAGTCAAATAGATGGGTGATGTAATTTTAAACCCTTATAATAAAAGAAGCTGAACTCACAATTTTTTTTTTGTCTACTGAAAGTCGACCCATTTTTCCACAAATCTGGGCTATAAACTATAAACAGATGGCGTCTCTTCAGTGATCTGCTCTGTAAAAATTATTTTTATAAAATAACACAAAAAGCGTCTAAGATTTTTGGCTTTCAGCAGTAAATTGTAAGCATATAGCAATATGTGTGATCATAAACACATGTTCTGTTAATCTGAGGGGAACTTTTACAAAAAAATTAACAAATAAATAAAATAAAAACTTACAGTTATTTCATGCAGTTACTGAATAATTTGCCTCAAGATTTGGTCATGTAAATTCAGATGGACAAACCAAAATATACCCTGGTCAATAAGAGGTTAAAGTATAACATAGTATGTGACTTTTTGCATAGAGTGTAAAGAGCCATTTGGTCTGTCTGGATGGTGAATGGGTGGAAAGCGTGTCTTACCACATTTGCACAATTTGCCACTAGGCAATAACAATGGGTCTTCGACTCCTTAGGCATCTGTTATCAGCAAATTGAGTTACATAATCATTAATAACGGTGTGTCCTAACTGGCTGTCATTAGCCGTCCAGCTAATTCATGTCAGATCCAACAAATCAAGTTATGACTGCACACTTAGAGGACTGCTCCATTTATTGTGAAGTATCTCCCACAGATGGAACAGTCAGATGCTGAAAGCCTGCTGTGTTGATTCTTCTGCATGAGGTCATGACCTCTGACTGCTGAGATGCTAATTTTCAGTACCCTTTTTTCTGTGACCCCACAGACAGCAAGGAGGCCAAGCGGCCGGAGAAATCCAAGGAGAACGGCCTGGGCCCTTTAGGCTCGGAGCCTAGCTACTTTGAGATCCCCAGTAAAGACGGGCAAATGACAGAGAACAGCATCCACGAGATCCCAACCAAGGACACTGAGGGCAATGCAGCCACAAAGTCTGCCACAGGCAGTGCTACTGCGCAGGCCAACACCTCATTCACCATTGAGTTTGACAACACCTCTCCAGGGAAAGTAACCATTAAGGATCACGTGTCCCGTCCAAGACCCAAGAAGTCTCAGCCAGGAGGCAAAGAGCTCAGCACCCTGCAGGCTGCCATCATGGCCTCAGAGAGCAAGGTGGCCGACTGGCTTGCCCAGAATGACCCTCCTCTGGTGAGACGTGAGTCCACAGAAGAGGACAGCAAGAGCATTAAGAGTGACGTGCCTGTCCACCTCAAGAGGTTGAAAGGTGAGGTGGTACATTGTTATTTCTAGATCAGCGTTGCCCGAAGTGTAGCCTGCAGTTTCAAATCAGACTTGAGTTGAATCCTAACTACCATCTTTATTTGCTTTATTTTGTCTCTCAAGATATAAAAGCACCATGCTCGAGATTTTTTTGCTGCCGTTTTGCTAGTTAGTGAAGTGAACACCACATACACACTAGTGAGCACACACACACACTAGGGGGCAGTGAGCACACTTGCCCAGAGCAGTGGGCAGCCCTATCCACAATGCCCAGGTGGGGGTTAGGTGCCTTGCTCAAGGGTGCCAGCTCAGGGGATCAAACCGGCAACCTTCTGGAGTGTATTGTCTTAAGCAGTTTCTACTCCAAAGGCAAGTTTATATTGAGGTATATAACAACTCCAGCAGCACTGCTGTGTCTGATCCACTCAGACCAGCGCAACCCACACTAACACACCACCACCACATCAGTGTTACTGCAGTGCTGAGAATGATCCACCACCCAAATAGTACCTGCTCTGTGAGGGTCCATGGGGGTCCTGACCACTGAAGAACAGGGTAAAAGGGGGCTAACAAAGTATGCAGAGAAACAGATGGACTACAGTCTGTAACTGTAGAACTACAAAGTGCACCTATAGAGTAAGTGGATCTGATAAAATGGACAATGAGTGTAGAAACAATGCCTGATCGGTGTATATAACACCTTTCATACTGCTGTCATTCAAAGTACTTTACACATGAGAAAATAGAGTCGTTTAAAAAATAGAATTAAAGGAGAATAGAAATGAAAAACATGATTAAGACATGATTAAAGCACTAGATTTAAAAGTTACAAATTAGAATAATTAAAAATCAAATTAAAAAATTAAATAAAAAAATCAAAATTTCTATTTATTTATTGTGTTTAACATATAAAAATATACAAATTTTTAGATAACATAAAAAATTATAAACCATTTTATGTTTAATTTTTTTCCAGTATGTTACATTCAGCAAATTAATATGTATTTAAACATGTTCTCTGTAGAGGAATTATTATACTACTACACTATGCTTGAACCAAAAGAAATGAACCAAACAGGTAATTCGACCAGGGGTGCCCAGACTTTCGAATACGACTTTGGCTGTTACGAAATGGAAATCAGAATCGACCGTAAAAATTCATGATTGTTGGACCTCTAAGTGTAACTGCTGCTTTGGCTATTATACGAACAATGACCAAATCAAGTCTCTGACCAAATCTCTGCGTCTGAGCACTGACCCATTATTGTCAGACCCCTTGAGATGTGATGAAGTTCATGTGCAGACATGCAGGCCATGAATCGCACTGCTGAAGTGTAGCCGAGTTGTTGCGAATACATGCTTGGATTGTGTTCATTTGCTCTTGTTACACTTTCAACAAAGGTGAGAAATGTCACCAGCAGACGAGAGGAACTTATGAAGGAGGCATTGTTGATAGTGCTTATTTTAGCAGCCTTCAAAACAAACCCAAAAAGACAGACCTCCAGGGGTGAAGCTCTTTTGTCAGATCCACACGACTCTTACACAGATTTGATATGTTGTGTCTACTGGTAGCTATATTGCATTTTGTAGACCTCAGTCAACATGCAGTCAAAAGAACAAAAGGCACTGTTTTATTGACGTCAGGCACTCAGTCTAATTCAGTCTAATTCAAAGTAGGTCAGTCTTTCTTAAATCGTACATTTTTGCAAGAAGAACTAGATGTGCTGATTCGAAACACAACTGCTTGAGCGTTCTCTAATTGCTGGCGCTGTCATTATCACAGCAGAAGTCTCCATCAGACACATATGCTAAGCGTGCAGCTCACCAGGAGAAAGTGTGCAACTGTGAAATGTCAGATTTTCAGCTGTGCCTCCCGTTTTAAAGGGATTAGCTGCTACCTAACACTTTTTTAATCCTCCTCTCAAAACACCCACAGACAGAGCATAGCGCTGAAGCTTGGGTTAACATTCTGCTTCCTCCAGTTTTCTCACCAAAGGCAGTCATATTATACTCTTCCCCCTGTAGCTGAAGTACATCAGTGCATTGTCAGTGCTCGACCCTTCGTGTTTTAGAATGTAGAGGAGCACATATCACGTCTTTCTGATCAGTGGATCTCTTGGGATGCCTCTCTCCGGTAGGATTGTATATTTTGATATTTTAATATCTCTTGTTTTACTCAACCACCGCATCCCGATGCTTTGTGACAGGAAAACCTTCTCATTTCACTTCGCTTTTCTAATTAAAGGGGTGCTAATTTATGATGACCGTGTGCTTCTGGGGCCAGTGGAGCGCTGATGTGAGCAGAGATACACGAGCTGTGTGAGGAGGGGGGGGGCGGGTGATTGATGAGAGCTGTTGGTCTCTGCAGTAAATTCAGCACAAGGCGTGGCTCAGTGTTCCTCGTGGTGGATTTTGGATGTGTTTTGTTATACAAAATGCTCTGGTTTAAGTTTTTCAACTTGCCGAAAAGACTGAGGATTCAGGCTATGGTTTTGATTGCTTGGACACCTGCATGTGTTTAAACAGTAGTGTGGGATGAGCAGAGCTGAGAGCTAAGAGGACTGCAGAAGGGCGCTCGAGACCAGTGTTAATATCGATGATCTCAGGTGAGTGAGCTGGGATTGTTGAATCGTAAAGCTGTGTGTGGAATGCAGAATTTTTGGGCTGATTGAGAGAACCCGAAGATTATCACTTAGTTATAGCCGATACTTATGTTAATAACAGATCATTCTTGTGTTTAAAACTTATTCAGAGTTTAATCCACATATGAAGTGCTCTGAGACTATGAGAGATAAAAAGATGAATCAATGATTAAATTTGCTCATGTAATTCTTGCATTTAGCCCTAAGATAGAGTGTACCGTCACAGCTGGAAATGTGCCTTGATGTGGCCACAATTTGTGCCCACAATCCCCCTGAATTCAGCATTCAAGTTACTAGGACTGATTTTCTCGCAAACTGAATGTAGCCTAACAGTAAAATAGCAGAGCCGTCAACAAGCCTGAGACTAAAGTTCTTTTTCCACAAAGGTATTCCACATGGGTGTTATTTTACTCAGACCACTCCAAGTTTGTGAAATGATAACATGAACTGCATGCATACGTTACGGCCGCGTCACAGTGTGTTTTGCACCGCATATTCTTACATACGCATCTGTTCGGAGAGTTTAAACAGCGCTTTTCGAAACCTTAATGCAAATTTATGCCTGGTTTGAGAAAGTGGAGAAAAATCAGTGCAAAACTGGCCATTGTGAGTTGTTTCGGAAGTTGAGCAGAATATGTAATCAGCCATGTTATATCTCCCTGTCTCCATGTTCTGTGCAGCCCTCCCTAAAAATGCAATGCATTTTTGCATATGCACGAGGAAGAGAGGCACATGCATTTCACCATGCATACACCCTAGAAACTGCACATTTAGGCTTGTGTGACAGTATAACGTGGGCATTTGTTCTGCACCTGAAACTGCTGCAGATGTCTTTGTGTAGTGGTTTTCAACCTCTGGGCCACAGCCCCCTAATGGACAATGGTGGTAGTGCTAGGCAGACTTTTTTAGCTGCAAAACTTCATTACAATATAGGCTGTTAACCAAACCTAATTTTAGATTTCTAAATCTTGAGCACATTGATTGGTCTAGCAAAAAATGCTAGCTAGTTCTGTTTATATTTTGAGTCAATGTAAAACGTTACACTTTTTGATCATACGAAATGTATTTAAATGGTTAAAATCAGGGCCTTTCAAAAGGATGGATCCCAAGGCTTTGCCATTTATAAGTGATGCAGCCAATGCATAGCGCTAGGCTTCACAGAGCCTGAAAACAAGCAGCCACCACTCTGTGCTGTTTGCTCAGAGGTCTTGTTAAACTAGCCAAACTGTTTATGCTGTCCCTCGGAAACTATATGAGTATGTGTCAAAACCTGTTGATTTGAGCCAGAAATCAGCTTTGCGACTTTACGCAGCTGGTTTGGTAGCTGCCAAACAACATCAGTTGGAAAAGGTTGGGAACCCCTGACTTAGTACAGCAGATCCTTAGTGTGCCGTTCTGCCAGGACAGGTAACCAAACGTCCAAATCTGCGGTATTATCCTCTATGCTGTCCGTTATACATGCATCACTATATACACAAGCCAAAACGGAGCAGCAAGTTAACAATTGTGATTATCAGCCATATGAATTGTAATTCAATTCAATTTATCGGCGAATAGTATATCAACTCCATATTTCATGTGCCACGATGAAGCAGGTACATTCTTGTTTTATGCGCATTAGTGGGTGTTCTGAAGTTTGTTTGTTTATGTGTGATTACACTAGTTGGAGTAGATGACTCATAGGGCTGATGAGACCAGCTCTGATGGCTCAAAGAGCATGCTGTGTGTCCCACAGAAGAGCTCCATTGTCTGTAGGCTGATGCATGCGAGGCTAGTGTCTAGTGTGGGGTGGCTCTCCCTGCCTCCTAGAGCTGGGCTGTCAGCTCTGGCTGCATGCTATTTCCTGAGCTGCCGAAGCTGAAGAATAGGCACCCCTCCTCCCCCAGCTCCTCCTCCTCCTCCTCTTTTTCTTTTGCTTTTCTTCCCCTCTAGCTGTAAGGCTAGCTTCGGTTTGTACTAAGTCATTGGTGTGCAGCCCCCCTGCAACCCGAGACGCCAGTCTCTCTCTTCTCGCCCTCTGCACAATGAGGCTCTTATGGGGGATTTCGTACTAGCTGTGCTCAGGTGCGTCTCGGAGGCCTGGCGCTTGTTGGCATCTGGAGCGCTCTTCTCCTGCTGGACGTGCACTAACAGGACAGGTTTCCTAGGTGTGTTTGAGCAGGGAAATCCTCAAATCGTGCTGGTCTCCAGCCTTCCAGGATTCAAGTTGGGCAAGCCTTGTGTATGATAATGCAGTACTGTATGCCAGATTAACATATAGAAGTTGAGAGTTATTATCATTGTTTTGCTGTAGTATTTTAAAATAAGTGTATATTTACATCATGCATTACATAGCAACATAATTAATAACGTTACCATGTGTATTGACAGGTTCACGACTGCTCTTCCAACATTTTTTGGCTTGTTTTATGATCATGAAATGATAAACACTTGGCAGGTGTATGTAAAGGATGTTTTTCTTTTCCACCAAACAGAACTGAATCCAAAACAAAATCCATAGTTATAATATGTAACACATATTATATATATACATATATATATATATACATATATATATATATATATATATATATATATATATATATATATATATATATATATATATGTATGTGTGTGCGTGTGTGTGTGTGTGTGTATAAAAACAAGGTAATGTGCAGATTATAAACTTTCTAAAGAGGTAATAACTTCAACTTCTAAGGGTAAGAAATCCATTTTCTTAATTATCGTCTCTCTTCACAGGCAGCAAACATGAGGACGGCACCCAGAGTGACTCGGAGAACGGCCTGGGTCTGCGCTTTGGGAGTAGACGCCACGCAGCCCTGGAAGAGCGCCTGAAGGCGGCCGGACTGGCCCGAGCTAAAGCCAACGGGGCCGAGGGTGCGCCCGCCTCCAGCCGCACCGCCTTCATGATCGAGTTCTTTGACGAGGATAACCCACGCAAACGCCGCTCATACTCCTTCTCACAGACTGCGCCGCTTATTGGGGGTGTGGCGGGGGAGGGACTCTGCCCGGCTCCACCTTCCCGCCCTAAGGTCATGTCCGCGGATGGTAGCAGGACCGTGACTTCAGCGCTGGCAGCGGTGGCCCCCACAGCAGCGCGGCTACTGCAGAAGCAGAGGTCAGAGGACCCCGGATTGGTGCGCAGCTCCCTCAGCACAGGGCAGCCCAGCCCGGGAGACGAGCCGCAGAAGCAGGACGACGACCAGAGCGACAAAGGCACCTACACCATTGAGCTGGAAAACCGCAACCCTGAGGAAGAGGAAGCCCGCCGCATGATCGATAAGGTACGTCAAAGGCTTTTAAATCAGTTTAAATCAACAGCCAATTAAAATAGAATGAAGTACAGACAGAATTCAGGCTGCCGCTGCTGTTTTTAGCTAGACACCTTTCTCCATGTTTTAAATAACAAAGAAACCACACAAGTGAGTCTGTTTGAGATTGCTTTACGACTTAGTTTGAGGTGAGTGCATGATGATTCGGTGTGCTGTAAAGCTTTGAAGGATGCTGATTGGTGGGATATATGCTTCCATCGCCAGTTAGCTACCTTAGCCTTGTAGAGCTACTTTGCAAGGCCAAAGAACAAAACCTCTGACACCAAACATGTCTTGGCTGATCAACTATATTTGAGTAAAGAAGAGCACTTTGCTTTTTTTTTCGTAAAGTATCGCATAATGTAATGATGGCAGACGGAACCAGGCGCTCGCAGACGTGGCTTGATTTAAGATCTTTAATAAGAAAGGGATGATCCTAAATCACAGTCGATAAACCAGAGCAAGAAGTCAAAAACTAGAGATCCACAACAAGACAAAAGGGCAAGACAAAAATCAAGGTCAGGATGGAAAAACAGGCCATACGCAGAAGTGGATAAACAGACGAAGTAGGAATGCTCGGTATGCTTCTTTCACAAAGAAGCTACACTAACAAATACATGAAATTAGGAACAGGTGTGAGTGTGATCCGAAGTCCGGTGAGGCTGAGCGCTGATAGGTTGATCGGTTGGAGTCCCGAGTCATGTAAGGCAGTAAAGGGGTTCTGGGAATTGTAGTTTGAGGTGGCAGTGTCGGCTGTAGTTCCAGCCATGCCGGAGGGAGGCGTGACACGTAACTATTTAATCTATATAACTTTAGAGATGCTGAATTGTCAGTCTTTGTTTGGTGTGATTGAAAATGAGGTTTGTGTTCTGTGTATTTTGATATTCAAGTGTTTCTAAGGGTTAATGATTGGATAATTGGTTAACTGTGGGGAAGGAAAACGAACTTCGGGTGACATTGATGTAGGGCTGTAGGCTTAACTCTTAAGGTGAAAGCACTTGTGTTGCACAACTGTTGCAAAGACAGCACATTTGAAAACATGTGTTCTTCAAAAATAGCCGAGAGAGATCAGTAGTTTTTTTTGATGAGTAACAAAGGCTGCCCTTTAAGAAAAGCTAAAGAGCTAAAATTACAGACTGGTACAACCCTGGATGCTGATGAAGACTTGTCATCTTTTTACAGGTGAACAATGCGCCAACATGTGTGTTTATCAGAGAAATATATTTTTACTGTTGTCCATGGCAACGTGCTCATGTTAAGGCACTTGTGTATTATAATAGCGAAGTGTAATAGCATATAGTATAATATAATGCATTTGCTCACATTTATGATCATACTCGACATATTTTACAGTCCTCTTAACACATAAAATCTCTTTGTTAATCTGTATACTTTCTCTTTATTCCTGTAATAAAATGTAACCGAATCATATGAATATTAACACCTCAAAGGGTTGAGTTCCTGGGCACATTGAGCCCTAGAGGCTGCAGAGAGGAAATATGGAACGGTAGCTTTTGTTCTTTTTTTTGATCACTTCTTCTTTTAAAGTTAGACTTAAAGATGTGTAAAGGGGAAACCAAATATTTAAAACTTTAACATAAAAATCTAAGATCTAAAGAACGTCACACCTCAGCATTTTTTCTGTGTTGTTTCATGTATTCTGCCCTAAATAAGAATTAATGAATGGTGTACGTATGTATGTGCGCTCATTATCATGTCCATATGTGAACTGTACTTCATAGATCAGATCATGTGATGAGAGCTGACAGTCACTGAGACCCAAGCTACTGTAGATATGCTCTAAGTTTGGAACTTTTAAGAATGTAGTGATCTTTAATCTTCCCATATTGCAGCCCTTGTCACACTTGACACATTGAAATAGCAGTGCCTGGAAGTAAGCTTTCAACAGGGCTTAATTGGCAATGATTTATTCTCAGAATTACAATACATGACAGGACAGATCAACAGAAAAGGCAATTTGTCGTGATTTTCGTGACATGATCTTTCTGAAGTGGTGTGTTTTGCCTGAAGATCTGTCTGAATGGTGAGCTTTTGGAGTGCCCCTCGCTGTGAATCTATATCTAATGGGTTTGTAATGGTCTTCAGTGACTAACCATGCAGTTCTTCCGCTGTTTAGTTTACCCTTAGGGAGCTGTAAAGCTTTGTGTTTAATGTAACATCTGTGTGCTATTGTTTACTGGCATCTTTACAGGTGTACTTTTAATTACAAAGCTGTTTAACGAGCAGCCCTCACACAAATAAATACAAATTAAACTGAATGAATTTAGAAATGAATGAACGAATAGGAAACTGGGTACAGAGATAAATGAATGGATCAGCTTGCATATGCCAACCGTCATTAATCCAGGCAAGAGCCTAGTTTTTTCAGGCTTTAGAGTTTTCAGAGGTGTGTGTATTAAGCAGTCTCACTAATTAACACTCTTCATGCCTCGGTTGTGTTGGGCCCCATTTTCTTGCACTGTTGCCATGGAGCCAAGATTTCTGCACATGTGCTCAGCAGTCTTTTGGCTTTGAAGCTCTATTTGCCACTCAGGTGTCTCATGGCTCTCTGCTCTTTGTCCTCATGGTCTTGTGTCCTGCACTGTGTAGGTGTTTGGGGTGGAGAACTCTCAGGAAACTGCTCGTCCCAAGCAACAGCAAGGTGTTGGGAAAGCTAAAGAGAGTAAGAAGACCAGCAGCACTACAGCTGAGGTAATGGCAAGTCTGGGGGCTTTATTGTTTATTGTGCGACTATGAACAATAAGCTCAATTATCATTGATATGTTTTTTTAAGTGCCATAACTATTGAGGGGACTTTGAGTGGGATAGAAATTTTAGTCCAAGCTAATGCAAGGGACTAAATGACAGACTGTATTTTTGAACAGTAATTGTGAAATGAGTAGCTGACAAGAACTACATGCTGTGCTGTGTAGTGGTAATATTTGTATCGGAGGAGAACAAGGCTGTTTGAAAGCGCCCTCCGATTCAGAGATGAATAGTGGAGTCTTCTATTGCATGAGAATGGCTATTTTTAAAGGCATACTCCAGGAGCCCTTAATCTGTGTCAGGCATTCCCTTATTTGACCACTTCCTTGTTACACAGAGAGTAGGCCACTCGCTGACTGACCCAGTTAAGGGCGAGAAGGAGGAGTAGTGCCCTCTCCCCTCAAGGCACACACACACACAGCCAAGATTAATGGAACCATGCAGTCGTCATGCTGCACTGCATGTAGATCTGTAGATTTGTGTTTAAGCACAATAAACACTGGGGCTTGTGATAAACAAAGTCTGCCAAAAACTAGAGTTTGCACACAATTTGAGAAAACAGATTTTTATGGGCTTTTCTTAGAAAAGAAGAAAGGAGAAATTAAGTTAGAGCATTTTTTAAGCAAGTTTTCTTTAACTAATCCAGCGTAAGCCTGGAACTAACGATTATTTCTACAATTGCTTAATTTATTGGCTGTTATTTTCAGTTCATTTAATAATTATGTTTCTTTTTCAGTGAGAAATAAAAGCAAATAATGGCACAAGAAAGCTGAATTTGAAAATTCACCGTCAAATATTAAATTGCTTTTGTGCCGCTAAATCAAAGGTATAACTAAATACAAGAAAGCTTTTGTTTATTTACTAAAGCCTTTAAGAAGTTAATAAAATAAATGAAAATTTACTTCATATTACTTCTGCATTTATCATTTAGTGTCTATTTTTATTTTTCTCGTCTAACTTATCATCTTTCCTGTTTTCTCGATTCTAACAAACGTTTGTGTTTATCTGTTGCCAATTTTGTGGGTCTTGTGTGTCTTGTTTTCTTGAGTTTACCTCCCATTGCACTGTCATCATTTAAACTTGTCTGTGCCACAAACAGTTTCTTTCTATGATACAGGAAAACAGCAGAAGCCATGTTGCCCCTGTCTGTATAGAATATATTGAAATCTGTAGGAATTAATGCACACATTAACATTATATGTTTTTTTTTTAATAAACAACACATCAACAATAAACCTGTTTCTTATAAATGATGTAGTGGAGTTTTATTGATTAATTGTTCCAGCTCCAATCCACTGAGTGTTTCATCATATTACTCAAACATAAGCTGGAGTCAATTATGTGGTGCGTTAGTCATCAGCTTTGATGGCGGTCTTTGTCATCACACTGTGTGAATCAGTTTTAGGATGTATTGATTAGTATTGAGCCTAACAAATGTACTTCATTTGCAGGGCCTTGTGGACGAGTCTGTTGCCGTCGGCAGCCCGCGATGGGTTTCCCAGTGGGCCAGTTTAGCTGCTAATCACACTAGAACTGATCCTGAGGGTTCTGGGGCAGAACCCACAGCCTTCATCCATCAAGAGCGAGGTATTTGCCTTGTGTCTGTTCTTTCTGCTGCTGTTATTGTACATTATGAACTTCTGAAGTACTTCTTAAAGAACATCATGTAACACAAGTATAAGGTGCATCCTTAATGATTTAGTGATGGAAAAATTCTGTCAGAAATGCAAATTCTAAACCTTCAATTGATACGTACAGTCTTGTTTTGCGGAAATCAGTCCTGTTTTTACCACGTTTTTATTATTTCTTGACATCGAAAAAGTTGGAAGTGCAAACTTAAATTTGTAGATAAAGAATGAAAATTGAATATACATTATACAATATTCTGTACCTCACTATGTAATTAAATATGTAGTAATGTATCGATACTACATTTCAATAATTACTATGTAATGAAATATGTAGTAAATATGTAAACATTTGACAAACATAACAAAGTAGTAACTCTCAGCTTCAAGAATCAGTGATCATGTTGAAGAGGTGTGTTAAAACCTGAAAAATCTAAACTGAATTGTGCTGCACTGGACATCCAGGACCAGAATTAGGCACCTCTGGTCTATAATAATGCAATATTATTAATGAAACTGCAAGAACATTTATGATGTTAATGCCAAAGTCAGCGGATGCAAAAATATTTCGAGTCATGTTGCCATTTTTTATTGTATTTTTGCTTTAACATTCTATACCATTGCAAATTAGCATAATGTTACAAATGAAGATAACTGGCATCAGTTATTTGTAAGTTTCTATGCTCATGTTTCTCTCACTATTAAATAAGTATGGAATAAAATACATATAAATATAAACTTACTAGGTGTCGTATAACAAAGTACAGTTGATTTCCGGATGACTTTGTTTGTTGCATGATCATCCTGTATGTTTATTACTTCAGTCTTCTAAACAAACGAAACATTTGTCTTTTAGACGCTGATGCTTTGGACCCACTGGCATCCATAAAGAGCACCGGCTCTGCCACCTCCAGCCAGTGTGAACGGAAGAGGAGGACACTGCCTCAGCTCCCCACTGAGGAGAAGAGCAAGCCAGGCAAGGCCACCTCCGCCCTTGGGCTGCGCTCTGAGATTGGCGAGAAGCAGGACACGGAGCCCCAGGAGAAAGAGCGCCACAGTGAACACAAAGGGGACGGCGAATGTGCCCCCTCCACACAGGACACTGTGAGCGGAAAGACCTCCCAGCAGGGTGGGACAGGTGGGATGCAAACATCCTCTTCCAAGCCTCCCACACGTCCTGCAGAGAAGCAAGGCGAGGAGGGACGCAGGAGGCGCACTGAGGACAAGAGCAAAGGGAGCGATGGGGAAAGGAGTGGGAAGCCCCTGGTGCGGCAGGGCAGTTTCACCATTGAGAAGCCAAGCGGAAACGTTCCCATTGAACTCATTCCGCGCATTAACCGGCAGGTAGGGGGCCGAGAGCGCAGCGACTCGGCCGGCAGCATGGACACAGCTACCCTGCTGAAGGACACAGAGGCTGTCATGGCCTTTCTGGAGGCCAAGCTCCGTGATGAGAAGAAGCTGGATTCCACAGTGCCCCCTAGCCAATCTCAAGGACGCTCCATTTCCCCAGAGTCAGACGTGGACACGGCCAGCGCGGTCAGTGAGGCTGAGCGGAAGGGTGTGCAGAAGCGCCGCTCTCTCAGCAGCCTGCACAAAGAGAAGAGCAACCTGAGCTCTGCTGGGAAGAGTGCTGCGAGCGCACGAGAGCGCCTAGAGAGGAAGGCCAAGACCAAGGTTCCAGACGGCCGTCCAGACACCCGTCGCACCACCCAGACGATCTCACGGGGCCGTCAGCCCTCGCTAGACCTGACAGACGACGAGCAGACATCTTCATTGCCCATCTCCGACGTGCTCTCCTCCGACCAGGAGACCTATTCCAGCCGCTCCCACGGCCGCGGTACCTTCACCTCCACCGACGACCTGCTGCAGTCCAAGCTGGACTCCTCCAAAGCTGCCAAAAGCAAGACCAGTAGGATGGCCCAGCCCAGCACACCTGCTGTAGGAAAACAGGTGCTCCCATTTTGAACTGTTGATCTGTTTTTATAAGTCCTTATAGTTTTGCTTCTTTTATTCTCTTAAGAATAAGGAAAGATAGTTAAGTTCTGTAATGCGCAGTTACCTGTTCAAGAGTGCCGTAGTGTCGTTGTGACAATGTTATTCACTGATTATTGGGGAAAGTAGTTACTATTATCAGGCCTATATTGAATTACAGACAATAATAATAACCAAAACCTGGTGCCTTATTTTTTACTCTGCATGCACTGATGGAGGGTACGGAGGTTTTTCACAGTTGCTCAGAGGACAACAGAAGAGCAGTTTGCAGAAACAAATTGGGCAAGGAACATCAAACACACTGAAGACATTCAGATGATTTCAGTGACCTATATTGCCTAAAGAATGCAGTTATCTGTGAAAATGTAGGCACCCCTGGTCAAACTACATTTTGTCGGTTTTCTAAGTGAAAATAAGTGAACACATCCTCTGCACATTTTAACCTTTTCAACTCCTTGGAACCACCAGTGGCTCCAAAACGTACTTCGTCATATTTTTCATAACTTTCATATCTCATAAGCTTCATTCAAAAGGTGGGTGTCGTATGAGAGCTGTAACTGTCTTCTTTCCAGTCAAATAGATGGGTAATGTAATTTAAAACCCTTATAACAGAAAAAAAGCTGAACTACTGAAAGTCGACCCATTTTTCCACAAATCTGGGCAATAAACAGATGGAGAGATGGCGTCTCTTCAGTGATCTGCTCTGCAAAAATTATTTTTATAAAAAAATACAAAGAGCGTCTAAGATTTTTGGCTTTCAGCAGTAAATTGTAAGCATATAGCAATGTGTGTGATCATTAAACACATGTTCTGTTAATCTGAGGGGAACTTTTACAAAAAAAATAAATAAATAAAATTTTACATTTATTTCATGCAGTTACTGAATAATTTGCCTTATGATTTGGTCATGCAAATTCAGATGGACGAACCAAAATATACCCTGGTCAATAAGAGGTTAATGCACAATTACTGTTTATTTGCTGAATTTTAACATATTGATTTTCACTGAATAAACCGACAAAACGTTATTTGAGCAGGGGTGTTCAAACTTCTGCATACGACTGATGCGCACCAGCTGGGCTCACAGTACCATTGAAAAGTTTAAAAACACTTGCCATGTGAACAATTTTAGCTATGTTATATTCTGTGAGCAAGAAGTTTTTAAATGATAAATAAATGTAATGTAATCTATTTGCATACACTTTTTTGTCCGGTTACCTTGAGATTTGATCTCCACTTCTGAAATATGATGATTCATTTTATTATAACTTTTTAATCATTTTATGCTCCGCGCTACAGTACAGTAGATTTACCAATTAATCAACTTAATACAGTGCAGTGGTGTTTCAGTTCAGTAGTTTTTTAAACAGCAAAATTAAAAAGTGTTTGAAAATTCTGGCTTACAAAGTTTCCTTTTTCAGTTTATTAGAGCAAAATGATAAAAGTGTAGTTTTTAACGTGTCCAGGTCTAACAGTCTGGACACAAGCTAATATGTTAGCTATAAGCTAACACATTAGCCACGAGCTAACACGCAGGTTACAATACAAGGATACAGTATGATATGTTGTACTGTTACATCTCTACTAAAGCTTCCTTAGACATTTTAGAATCTTCTACAGCTCCGTCTTTTGTTGCGGAAACAGAATTTCAAAATCGCCCTACTAATCGTTTAAAGCCTGTAATGTTGCACAGGACTCACACATTAGAATCATTTTATAATCTTATCTACAACCAAATTGGATTCCGTATTAATGGTAACATTGATTTCACACTTTTAAACAGTGATTCCTTTTGAGCTGTGGTGTATAGTACAGTTGACAATTTTGATGAAAACTCTATTTATCTGTTTTGTCAACAGCAGGCAGGGCTTCCTCAGCCCCGGCCCACCAGAGCCTCCCTGCTGCGGCGTGCTCGGCTTGGGGACACGTCAGACACTGACCTTGCAGATGCTGACAGGGTGTCAGTGGCCTCTGAAGTGTCCACCACCAGCTCCACCTCCAAGCCCCCGTCAGGCAGAAAAGCCCCATCCCGCATCGACATGCTGGCCCAACCCAGACGCACCAGGCTGGGCTCCATCTCAGCACGCAGCGACTCAGAGGCCACAGTTAGCCGCAGCGCAGCATCACGGGTGTCGGCTGAGACGGCTCTGCGGCTGGGACTGCGCGCCACCAATCCGGCAGACAGTAAGCTGAACCCACGCCTGCGAGCCAACAGTGTCTCTAAGCTCACAGACACCAAGACCAAAATCACACCTCCTGTCTCTGGACCTCCAACAGGTGAGCACACGGCACTCCTTACCTTACAGAGTATGACCACTTTTCTACTGTCTGCACTGTGCTTGTAATGCATCACTGAATATGTTTAGATAATGATTGGATAAATGTGTGCTGCACGTCAAATGTGTGGGGACCACTAGCTTGAAATTATTAAGCAATATTTTCTTTCTATAATTTCAATAAAAAGCTATTTAGATCTTTGTTGAAACTGCAAACCGGAGACTTGTCACTCATCATCCACTCATCATCTTTTAGACCTTCCTGGTGTTTAAACCACCTCTGGGACGCAAGATTGGTCCAATACTGATTGTGTATCCCTAATATGATTCTTCCAAGTCAGTAATGTAACTTCGTAAGACAGCTCAACGCATTTGGAGAAGAGCGCTAACCATAACTTAAATAAATTAACAGACTCTTGCTTTTACTAGCATCACACTAGTTATGGGGGTAGAGGGAGGGCCATCCTACCCACCCAGAGAGAGTGGGGCTGACCATGCTCTCTTGGACTCCTGACCATGGCATCGCTATCTCCCAACAACAGGGCCAAAACTTGTACGGTCATGCCACTTAGGAATCTTTTGTCCCCAAACTTTTGATGGGCAGTGTATATTTTCACCACTTTTGTACTTAATTAGCCACAAACTTAATATCCAGCCTTAATCAGTGTGTTTTCTAGTATTTCTTTTTTGTCTCACTGTGCTTTATTTTCATTGTCTGTCATCTGTACTTGTCATTTGACTGTTCGTGTGTTGGTGTCCCTGCATGCATATGTTGTTTATAAAGAGAACTTTTATGCAGAGATGCCTCAACCAGAACCTGAAGATGGCCTAGCAGACGAGGAGCCCATGGGTACTGTACCACCTCTGGGCTGTGTGTGCCATTCATTGTGTGTGTGTGTGTGTTTGTATGTGTGTTTCTGTGTTTGTGTCTCAGTGTGATGGTGCAGCTGTCTGTGCATGTCAGACCTTGGTCAAATACGCAGCTGAATTTCTAAAGAACGTGATAGTAAAAACACGCAAATACTTAGAATAGTCTTTAGCACAGCCTTGAAATAGCTCAGAATGAATTGTGTCTGTGGATTTGACTTGGCTATTTGAGCATGTTAACTCTCCTCCAGTTTTCATCCTAAACAGTAAAAATAAAGTAGCTTAAGTAGTTTTCTCACTTTTCTGTAATCATGAGGATTAATACATTAATAGATGAAATCATCTATTCAGAGTTCAGATCTTTAGGACAAACATATTCAGAAACCAATGTAGGTTTTCAGTACTTTTACAGTCCTCAAAGAATGTTCAGTTGCTCTTTATAGCGCCAGAGCAGAATTTTTGCAGTATTTGCCAAATGCCTTAACAGGAAAAGGCACTAGACTTGCAATTATGCTGATGTAAGCAGTAGGCAATTGAAATCAAAGGCTGCAGTTCAAGAACAGCTCACGTCACATAGGCTCCCCCTGATGGCAATAACTTATAACATCATTCTGGTCAAGCTTACAATGAGCAAGTTGTCTTCTGTGAAAGCCTACAGAGAGGAGTAACAAGTATCAGACGCTGTTGTTTTTATTAAGTGTACTTCCAGTACATATATCCGATTCAGGTTTATACACATAATGTCTTTTGACTCTGTACTTATAAATATAATCAAAATGTTTGTGTCCATAAACATAAACACAAGTATTAAAACAGAATAGCTCGGAAAAAACACTTATTAATAACATCATTAGTATTTTTTGCAAAGCCGTTGTTGATGGCAGTTATAGCTTTGAGACATCTACAGTAAGAAGTAATTAGCTTTTTATAGGATGGTGATTCAATATTGGCCCCTATTGGCTTCAATTCAAGGTTATAAGGGTCTCTCGCAGTTTTAAAGTCCTCCATAAATTTTCAATGGGACTCAAAGTCAGACAGGCAAGCACCTTGATCTTTTTAAGAAACCAGACTTGAGTTATTTTGGCTGTATGTTTGGATTCAGTTTCTTGGCCAATGAGATTAAATTCTTCTCTGCTATCTCCTCTAAATGATCACATGTAATGCCCCAGTACCGTTTGTAGAGAAGCAGCCCCACATCGTGATACTGACAAGGTTGTTCAAGGTCATTGCTGTGGCTCTGTAGCTTTTTCTGAGTATGTTTAATAATGTTGTTCCTGAGAACTTAGGAAAGCTCCTTCACCTTCACCGTGATTGCTGCCTGTTGCGTGAAATCTTCCCAACGAATGGCAGCAGCTTTATTAAACACATTATTAAAGTCTCCAAAATGATAACTTTACAGGAGAAGGAAAAAACCTACCTTACTTTTCCCCCCCAAGTCATTTTGGGTCATTTCTTTTGGTCTGTTTATCATGAAATTTACACAATATAACAGGCATTTTCAAATTATGCCAAAAACTGAGATTTTTTTCCAAAAGCAATACATACACACACACATTATGCTTAACTGAGGCTTCAACTTTTGTGTTCGTACTGATAAGTACAGATTGATAACATTTTATATGTAAACATGAAGTGGATATATGGACTGGAAGTATTTTATGTAGTAATGAATACTGAATAATTGTTGAACGTGTTGAATACTGTCTGTAGTTACTGATGACTTAGGAATGATGTGAGCCTCTAATCACTCGGCAGGGCTGAGTAGTTTAGATATTACTGTGCTGATGATCGAGACTTTAACCAGTATGGTTTGGTATGCCAGAGGAGGCCACAGTGCATTGCCCTTGGGTTTTTATTTTTTGCTTTCTGGGATCTTGTGCGCTCTTTATACATGATATTTATCATTTTCTTCCTCTATTTGAAACAAGGTTTCTCTATTTACAGCATAAGGTTTTAATAATACTAAAAGACTCCATTACAGTGGTTACAATGTGTATTAGGTAATAACACGACTAGCATTGATTTATTTATCCATAAAAAATAAAAGTTTTTCTGTAGACTGACATTAAACCTTGTATCAGTAGTGGAAAAGGGCTGTGTTTGAATCTTTGGTGCCTTTAGTGTAGAGGTTTGGTGTTTTTCTCATCCTCTAACAACCTCTAAGGTCTTACTGTGTCTGTGTCTAATACTGACAAGAGCCTGGACCTCAAATATTGACAACCCCCTTATGGCTTTTGACCCTGTTTTCTCAGCACTCATCGCTCCCCCCTTGTTTTTTTTTCATTAGATTGTATTTTGTTTCCTAGCCCACATATCCCATATCCCATAATCTCATGCAGCTGCTTGCAGTAGATGAAATATGTTTTGCTGGCACTGATGCCTGAGTTAAAGAATAAAATATGGACATATATCCTATATGGACATATATCCTAACCATAGCCCCCTGTCTCTCTGCAGCCGCTAACAGGTGGAGACGCGTGCCTCCAGAATATGCCTCCACCTCTGAGGACGAGTTCGGCTCCAACCGGAACTCCCCCAAACACGGGCGTCTGCGGCCGGGCACCACTCTGCGCACCAGCAGACTGAGCGGTACACTCACCGCCACACCGACAGCCGGCCCCGGCGGCATCGCCCTCAAGCACAGGATGAGGGAACAGGAGGAGTACATTCGGGACTGGACAGCCCACAGCGAGGAGATCGCCAGGTACTCATCAACTCTGTCTTTCTAAAATTTACTTGCACAAACTCAATCAGACACATTTAGAACTCAGGCAGCTCCTGTGTAACAACCCAACTATGATACAAGGGTGGACAATATGACAAAAAACATGGTAATGCTTGAAGACATTTTCACCATAAAGATACAACAATGAATCATGATACAATACATTTCAATGCAAAAATGTGACAGTGTATATTGTGAAGAGTATCAGCTGCAGTGTATTAATTCTATTAATCATGGCATCTAATGCCTAGAAATATAACATTATACTCGGCCCAGGATTCAATTCGATATTTAACTCTGTGTTCACAGTTCAATAGTGTTACGATATTTTGAATAAAATTCGAAAGCAGAAAAATGATGTCTGTATTCATACAGCTTAGTAATGAACATGCAAGTGTGGGTTGTAAAAGCTGATTGTTTGTGGAGTTTGGTACTCAAAATGCAGTTGCATTCAACAACATAATTAATAGTAGAATGCATGATCACGACACACGTCGACACACTTTTTTATCAAAATATCACCAAAATATTGTGAGAAAGTGGCTGGTATAAATGCGGCTGCTATGGCGTACTTTTCTGATCTTTGACCCTATCATCAGGAGATCACGAGTTCCACAGCACTGCCATAACGATCCGTGTTAGGGAGCCCAAGAGAGCATACAGTCGGTTTGAACAGCCCTGGTGAAATGACATGTTTTGTTGTTTTCTACGTGAAATAAAGTTACAAAGCCTCTACAGAGAACACACTTCTGCACATTTTAATGCACATTTACTGTTTATTTGCTGAATTTAACATACTGAGGAAAAAATAAAACATAAAATGTGGCCTGTGCAAAAGTTACGGCACATTTTATATTTTATGTTTTAGTTTCTCCAATATGTTAAACTCAGCAAGTAAATAAAATCCTTGCACTAATATTGGCAGAAACATTTCCCTGTAGAATATACATTCCCTTAGAAAATGAACGAAACGTGATTTGAACAGGGGGTATCCAAACTTGGCATACGATTGTAATTGCTCTCTCTCTGGATGTATAGGATAGCCCCCCTCTGCTCTCACCATCGCTCAGCAGACCTGGTAGTTTGGAAAAAAGATGCTGTGTTACTTCACGTTTCTCATATGAAGAACATGCTAGGCTTCATCCTCCCAGCTTGGTGGCACTGTCTGATAGATAGAGACCTAGCTAGATAATGGGAATTGGATACAACAAAATTGGAGAAAAAAATGAATGCCTATTATGAGAATATATCTCCTTTAATTGAACGTTTATAAAACTAAACAGTACTATAAATCATACAATACGTTCAAATAAATTAAATAGGATAATAGCTTTGACAATAATAGGTTGACGTCCAATACACTGGTTGTCGTTTAGAGGCTTTTTTATGAAATTTAGGTTTTCTACAAGACTCACTTACAGTAATATATGTCGTGTTGCCCACATCTGTAATAATATATAGCTGCAAGTTCAATACTGTGGTCTAGTCACAGATTTCTGTGTGTCCTCTGTTGAGTGTGGACGCTTGTTTGAGGTTGTTGTCAGTTTGAGGTTGGAGCTCAGCTGCAGTAACACAGAGAGACAGTGACCTGCTCCCCTGCTGTGAAGAATGACCCAACAGCACTTTTTCAGTTTATTTTCCGCCCCCCCTCCTCTCTTTTTGGCATGTTTTATACCTGCAGCTGTCTCGCTGTTCCTCCTCTCTCCATCTTTGTACTGCTCTTCCACTTGACCTAGTAATCACATTTAAACTCAGCCGACAGCAGAGCTTCACTCTCACTTCAACAGAACCCAAGCATACATCTATATTTTAGCCCTCTAAGTGGCACTTTTAGGAGAATGTAAATAAGTGACAGTGTTTACTCACCTGCAACCTCAGAGCAGCACACAGTATTTTCCAGCGGACAGATTTCACTGTTTTTGTACAAATAGAAGAACCTCTTACGGTTATTATGGTTAATATGATGTGAAGTTTGTTGAATCTGCTTTGAGAGCAAAGTGGAGTGGGAATTATTGATTTTGAACTCAGAATAAGAGGATGTGCTTCACTAATGCATAGGCTGGGAATGTAATATAAGGTGCCGCCAGAATTACTGGCACCTGTGGTAAAATTGTGCAAAAAAGACTGTGAATAAATCTGAATCTGTGTTTTATCAGTTTTATTCCTACACTGAACAAAATGAGAGAAATCTAACCTTTCAGTAAAGCGATACAGTGAAGTAATATACAGTCAGAGCTGTATAATGTTATTGACGTTGAGTGACCAGTCATGTGACCTAAACTCTATTGAAAACCCACAAGTGAGGACAAAGACACTTATGTCTGGGCAGAGTCTGTATGAAGGAATGATCTAATATCCCTTTTATATACATTCAGTATACATTCAGTATATCGCTGCTGATGGAAGAAAACCTTGTATCTCGCATTTTTGTCATTTTTCAGTTTTTGTCATAATTTGAAAATGCCTGTTGCTGTTTACATTGTGTGTAAATTTCATGATGAATAAACCAAAATCCATTGGTTTCCATTGGTTTCCATTGACTTACATTAAAAGTAAAGTGGGTTTTTTCCTTCTCCTGTAAAGTTCTCATTTTGGAGATATAAGGTTTCTTCTGACAACAGCAATGTGTAACATTAAAAGAGAAGATTCAGAACTGATAGGGTACAATAAATTTAGCATGCATGTTTTTGAGAAAAAAATTTTTTTTGTATTTTACATGTTCTTTTTTCCCCAAATCATAAATCAAAATTGTGGGCTAATATTTCTAATATAATATAAAAATGTATTTGCATGTGTTCCCTGTAGAGGAGGTGTTGACTGATTTTCACTTAGGAAACTATCATGTTTTGTTTATTATTCATGTCACTGTGTTTGTCACTATGTGCATGTATCTGAGCATGTAGAGTGCTGTAGGGCCCACCTAGTGTATGTTTTTTGCTGTTTTGCATGTATGTGAACTCCCCTAGTTTCCAAACACCCGTCTGATGGTTAATAGGTTATTCCCCTGTGTGCGCAGGATCAGCCAGGACCTGGCCAAGGACCTGGCCATCCTTGCGCGAGAGATCCATGATGTGGCCGGCGAGATCGACTCGGTCAGCTCCTCCGGCACGGCGCCAAGCACCACGGTCAGCACAGCGGCTACTACGCCTGGATCTGCTATCGACACCAGGGAGGAGGTACAGCACACTTTCCTACAAATTTCATACCAAACTTGATGGATACATAGATAGATAATTGGATGTACTTTAATAATTCCAAGGAGAAATTTGGGTGCTACAGCAGCAAAAGAACACCGGACAGTATTTACATGTAGTAAATACATTTAATTACACAAATTCACACCTGCACACAGTTCAAAACGTCAATACAAAGGATCAGACATCAGACAGAAGACTTTAACATGCAACGTTCAAACACTGTTGTGTGGGAGTTTTTTCACACAGTGTAAAGGACAGCTGCTGTGCTCAAGTGATGTAGAAAATTAAAAATAAAAAAATGGAGATACATATTTTTATTTGGCCAGTAACAATATATAAAGTGTGGCTAACAGTGAATGAAAGACTGCAAATTGCATGTTAACAGGCCCTTTATTTTTCTTCTGTAATGCAGCTACGATACAGCTGTGCGCTGTATGTGATGTCGCTGCTTTGTGCATCTGCAAATGACTAGCAGTGATACTGGCTACCAATTATTTTTCATCACTTCACCCTCTCATTTCATTTCTCCGTTTATCATTGCTTTTTTTTACTGTTTCCTGTAGCTGGTGGATCGAGTCTTTGATGAAAGTCTGAACTTTCGGAAGATCCCCCCCGTGGTGCAGACAAAGGCTCCAGAAATAAATGGCCGAGGAGTGGAACTGCGACCTCGTGCCCCCGACAGCTTGGACCCCCAGGCTGCACTGCGCAGGCGCACATGGAATCGAGACGAGGTTAGGCCGGTACGAACCTTATCACCAGCTGCGTTTTAGATGTGCACATTGAAATTATGCCCAGTCAGATAAGATGTGTATGTAAAGTTGCCAGACTAACATGCTATGCAGCGTGCCACCAAAGGGGATAGTGGCTGTGTTAACTAAAGACTTAAAAGGATTACCCAATCTGAGGGCTCCCCAACCTAAATCCAAAAAACTCCCTTCTATAATCCCACCCTCACCTCTCCCTCAACACAGAGAGTGAGACACACTCAAGACTTTTTTTTAAAACTGGAGACGAAGAACAATACTGGAGTTTGCTGGAGAACAATTTAAGAAAAGCAGACTTGAAACTCAATACGGATACCGAGGTTATCGGCTGAGTCAGTTCAACATGCGTGTGGCGGTGTAAACTCAAGACTGAGCACTGAGCAACATGTGAGCACCCCTTAAGTAGGGTGGCTACAGCTGCTACCGCTCAGCCCTAATTACTCGGTCCTGGCTCTCCTGCTCCTCCTAGTGGCCGGAGGTGGCCTAGCAGGTTGCCTGGACGTTTCAAATATGTTTGACTCTTTCTGTTGTTTAATTGAATTTAAGTGTGTGATAATTGAAAACATTAATATCAGTAAGCAAAGTACCCTTTAACTAAAACCAAGTAAAAATGTAATAAACAATAAATATAATTTATTTGATATTTAAGTTTTTCTTTATAGGTCCATCCATAGAGTGTGTAAGTGTTCATGTAGTCATTTTAAACAAACAAATGAATGTTGTTTCTGTATACTTGTGTAATTTCACATTGGGTAACATTATTTCTAAAATTCTGAAAATTTGCTGCTTTTGTGTTCTTGTAGGCGGTGTTAGACAGTTTGCTGCTGACATCAGTCTCTCAACTGTCCTCCAAAATCCGCCAGTCTGTGGATAAAACAGCAGGCAAAATCAGGTGAGTCATAAAGAACTCTTGGTCATTGTTTCTAGATTGCAAAACACAGAATACAGTGAATCATTTTAATGAAGTATAACATTAGAGTTCTGATGATTTTCTTCTGTCTTAAAAGGATATTGTTCAAAGACAAGGACAGGAACTGGGATGACATTGAGAGCAAACTTAGTTCAGAGACTGACGTACCACTTCTCAAAACCACTAACAAGGTGTGTTTAATATATAATTAACACCTCAAAGCACATTATTAGTCTGAACAACATCAGACAGTCAATCTAATCATGTATGTCTTACTAATAATATTTTTTGTATGATCTAGGAAATATCGTCAATTCTGACAGAGCTGAAAAGGGTGGAAAAGCAGCTTCAAGGTAAGGCTTTCTGGAGATGTTACCAGTGCGGCTGCTTTCAGAGAGCTGTCTTACAAAGCGTCCTGTAAAGAGAGACTTTACAGGAAAAGGCAAAATGCTCTTAACTTTTAATAATATAAAGAGATTTTATTCAAAGTGATTTTTGAGCATTTGTATTGGTCTTTATTGGCATCTGCTGCACTCAAACAATGTAGAATAATTAAAATAGAAAAAATGGCGGGGTTTTTTGGGGGGAGCGGTTTTGGACAGCAACAAGTTTGGGTGTTTAAAGGCATGTGTATCTCTTTCCCCTGTCTGCTCACATGATTGCTGATAAAGTTCTCTGTATACATTTATTTAAGTACTAGTTATGTAGTCCATTTGTGTTATAAAGAACTAATATAACTATAAATGTAATCTGCCTCTGTTAGTGCTTGTGAGTGGGTTCAGGTTTCAGATTTAATAATACCAGTTGGCCTTGCTGGGTCAGGCTCTGGCTTCAGTTTCATGCCTGTGCAGACCTCTAGCCGCAGTAAACATGTAGAGATCCAGTGGATAAGTGTTTTTTTTCCGTATATTTTCCTATTTGTCCTGCAGTTATAAATATCATGGTGGATCCTGACGGAACCCTAGATGCTCTCACCAGCCTGGGCCTGGCCAGCCCCACCACATCCAAACCCAAGAGCAGCCCCTGGGAGCCTCAGCCTGGTAACGGAGCCTCAAAACCCACCTCCACCATCTCACCCAGCCGAGAGCTACCCAGCCTAGGGCTCAACCTCAGCCACACCCAGCCCAGCGCAGGGGGGAGCGTCATTACCAACAAATAAACTGAGAACAACTTCCTAATACATGACTGTCCACAAAAGAATGAACCTTAGCTTGTACATACTGTATGTATTCCTCCCTCTGTGCCCTCCAAGATTGCTACGTGGGAAAAGTCCATTTTCCCCCCTCAAGTGCACCAGTGAAGGTCACACCTGTGGATCTGGACCTTGACATGCAGCGCAGCTAAGCAGACACAGCTGCTGATGACAGCAGGTGAGAGGCCACTGAGCTGCCACTACATATCATCATTGGTGTCAGAACCAGCTGTACGTGCTGCAAGTGTGAATGCTCCCATCCAAGCATGCCACAGGTGGACTTTGTTGTGAACTCTTTCAATTGCAACTCCAGTGCCTGTCTGCCCTGCCCTGTAAGCAAACCCTTCTACTAATGTCAAGTTCTTATATTAATGATCAAATGATTTCTGCTTTAGAAATTAGATGTCGTGTTTGATGAGAGGGAGCGTTCCCAACGTACTGTATGTACTGAGTCTGGTGTCTTTGTAAGGTTGGTCTTGTCAGATTAACAGTCCTTAAGACCAAAGAGAAGACCAAGACTCCATAACGAGACAGGTTTTCTGCGAGATTTGATGGACAATTGGATTAGCAGGCAAATTGAGAGGCATACAACACTGTATGAAAGTCAGAGACCCCTTTTCGTTTCTTGAATCTTTAGTAAAAAATGGCCTTTAAGTACAAGTTATTTTTCAGTACTGTGAAAAAAGCAGTACACATATACAGGGTGATTCAAAAAGGTTCACCCGAATTCAAAATGATGTATTTCACTTGTAAATCATTACAGAACAATGCAGTAAACTGTAAATGGTTTAAATGAGCATAACGTTTATTATGTAATTTTACAAATGCTCAATATGAACCTCCTCCAGCTGTACAGACAACATCAACGCCATAGTCAGATTCATCCCATACTCCATTGAGAATGTCGAGTGTCACTGTACTCACGGCTCTTTCAGTGCGATTTCGGAGATCATCCACTGTTGTGGAACCAACGACGAACGCTCTGAGCTGTTGGAGGTTCACTGCTGATGAAAATCATGTTATGACGGATTCACTCTTATTGAAGTGGAGAACAACAAACGCTTTCTGCTCAGGGGTCGCATCTCCTCTCAGACTGAAGGGAGCCATCTTCCGGTGACAGTCAGAAACACTATGACCCCCTCTTTCAATTGGTATGTGATTGGTTCCTCGGCGCCTCATGGGTGTAAAAACATGGCGCTTTGAAATCAAAAGAATCTTTTTGAATCACGCTGTATTAAACAGGAAATTACACTGAAGCCTCGAAAACTAAATACATATTTATTGCCTTTATTGCAGCTTCCATTATTTTCAGAAGACTTACTTTCAAGTTTCCACGAAATCTGTTTCCACGGAATCTGCAGGGATATTTTTCAACATCTCCAAAGTTCAGTCTTAGAAGTTGGTTGCATTTTCTATTCTCACAATCCAAGTAAACACCAAACACTTCAGTAATTATGAGGTCTGGCCTCTGGATTTTCTCCTGTCTCTCATCAGATAAAACTGTTCATCTGATGGTGACAGTTTTAGTGGGTCTTGCATGGCTGTTAAGAGTCCAACTTTTGCTGTATCTTTGAATCACCTTTTGAACTCCAGCTTTGAAAAGTCCTGTATTTTCACTTATTTGCCATTTCTTTCTCCTTTCTTATGCACGTGAATTATTACATATGTAATCTCCTCAGTATCTTCTAAAAAACTAATAACTTTACTTAATGGCTGTTTGACTGGAAATTCAATAAACAAAGGATGGTCTCTGACTTTTGCGCAGTAAAGTAAAGCAGAAGTAAAGTACAATTTCAACAACAGATGTTGTGAAGTTAAACGTGAACCAGTTTACCAAAGCAAGTACAACACTATGCGCACACTGAGCAAGTTTAAATTATATTTGATGCACATAAATGAGGATCATAGATGCCATTTTCTTGATTACACAAAGTGCATTTTATGCTATTAAAATTAGCATACATTAACTCAGTGATCTTGGCCATTTATTTAGAGCCAAAAAGAGAGAATTATCAGTGAAGATCTGCTTCATTTTTATCCTTTTGGACTAAGGGATAGGTACAGTTGTTGAGTACAGGGCTGTCAAAATAGCTACTGTTACAGTGAAATCTGCAAGTGACACAAACCTCATAGGACACATATCATAATTTAGTTTTTATCATATTAGAAGAAGGTATTGAAAGAGGATACAGTATTAGACAATGCATTAGTGAAATGTTCTATGGCTGTGTTACTGAGCATCTCTCATTCACTAAAACGTTCTCTGGTTGTGCTGAGATTTACCTGAGCCTTATAACAAGCAGGCTTTAATGTTTATGCTTGCCTACACTTTGAAAAAGTTGCAGATAGAGTCAGATATAAAGCTTTATAACAGCAGAAAGTCAATACACTAACTCAATACATCCTCTGTAATCAGAGTGACTTTGTGCGCTTAGGGGTAAGTAGACACCCCGTAATAATTGTTGGGCATTTTGTCAACATTTTCACGGCACTCAAACTAGCCTACTACTCATCTTTTTTCATGAAAGAAGGTGTTCCAGCATAAAGTGTGTGCGTACTGTATTATCTTAATCCCTTTTCCTCTTGCTGCTTGGCTGTATTTACGTTAATGGGGAGGGTGGGGGGTGTAGCCGAACCACTTACCTGGCCTTTCTTTGTGAACCTGTGTGTCGTAGAGAGAGTATGAGTTCAAGCTAGTGCATCTGTAATTAGGAACTGAACCGATAGTGAAGATAGGTACAGGACTAAATGCTTAGTTTTTTGTTTTTGTTTTTGTTTTTCAGTGTTAGGTAAATGTATGTTGTCACCAAGTGCCCAGTAATGGAAAATGTAGTTCTTGGGCCTTTTAGGAATGGAAATCATAATGTAGCGTGCTGAAGTTTCATTTTGCACATCCTGGACTGATGTAGGTTAATAATGTTACACGTGTTAAACCCATGCAGGGTACAAAAGGACATAATACCAAAACCATAAGAGTACATCCTACTGTTCTCTCATTACAGGACACATTTACAGTGGGGCGATTCCCACACACTAAGAGACCCATCGTTTAGTTTTAACACTGAACATGTTTTACAGGGTGGGACGCAGCAAACGTGTTTGGTACAGTTTTTATGTTTTGGGGTTTTTTTTGTCCTTTTTTCGGTTGCTGATGTTTCTGTATCATATCATTTTTTTATTTTGTCGTCATTTTTGATAAATACTTTTATTTATTTTTTGTTTGTTTATTTTTGTTTAATGCATTGAACTGTTGCGTCACATTTTTGTCTTCTTTTTTAATGGAATTTTTTTGCGTACTCTCAATAAAGGAGGAAATATTTCTGGACCTTTATTTAATTTTTGTCTGCTTTTTCTGCCATCAACTTTACATAAAGATACTGGTATAAAATACAAAATTCCACTGCAGCACTGGAGGTGGGAAACGCCAGTCTACAATATATGACGTAATTTTTCCAATGGCACACTTTTAAGGAGTCTGCCTAAAATAAAAACCAACATATGGTTACATTTACTGTAATTTTCATACAGTATTTTCATACATATAGATATCAGTATATCAGGGTGTGATATTTTCCATCTTTGTATATTATACGGTTGCTTTAGATCTTTAAAGAAAAAAGAAATCTCTGTAGGAATGCGAAACAAATGTCCATTTATTTTGTATATTATAATCAAGCAAATATTTCAAAATAACTTACAAAATGTATACATGTAAAGTAAAAAACCTAATGCAGTAATTACTACATTGATATGTTGTGTAAATACTAGCGATACATTCGCATGCACAATTATTAAATTACTTTTTACAATATAAAACTGTTACACGTGCTCAAAGCGTATGGATATACTGTGCACTGCACGTGTTAGAAACAGTCTCAAACAGAGAGAGTAGGGTTAAAATTACAATACAAATAAAATGTCCAAAAGTATCCAGACACCCCATCTAATTAGTGAATTCAGCTACTTTAAGGTTACCCATTGCTGACACAGGTGTTCAGTCCCACACACAGCTTGTACAGTCTCTACAGAAAAGCACTGCTTATAGAATGGGACACTCTGGAGCAGCTGCATACGAGCCCCCATGCCAAAGGTCACCATTCCCAAAGCAAAGCGTCGGCCAAAGGGGTATAAATCCTGCACTGGGATGTGGAGCAGTGCTGGGAGGAAGTGTGTTCTCTGGAGTGATGACGCTCCATCAATATCTTTGGGACAAACTGAAGTTGATCTAGACCTGATCATCCATCACCAGTACCTGACCTCACTAATGCTCTTGTGGTTGAATGCAATCAAATCTTCACAGATAAGTTCTAACATTAAGTGTAAAGCCTTCCCTGAAGAACAGAGGCTGTTACTGCTGCAACCATCTATTTATTCTCTTGTTTTCAGACATGTTGGATGAACAGGACATGTTTTTGGACATAGAGTGTATGAGCGACATACATTATGTCTGAGTTTTTGGAAGGTTTGTTTCCATGGTGGATTCGCCTCTAGGTCTCCAGAGCTAAGCCTTTCCAAGACTTTGCCTGCTCTCGCTTATATTGTTCCAACTCCTTCAGAGACAAAGAAAGGAAGAATATGTTAATACTGGACACTGCTGCGCACTGTGCTCTTCACACACATAAATCCCTCTCACAATCTCTCTTTCTCACAAAAATGCTCTGAATCGATGACATAAAGTGTTAAAGTAAGCTGATACGAATCCATCACAGCTTGTATGCTAATGGAATGTTGCTGCATTTGCACTAGGCACAAACCCCCATTAATCTATTAAATATTACAGTTCCCTGTGCTCCTATTGGCTGACCACTGCAGTCAAAGGACAGACAGACAGCAGATATACAGTGTGAAGAGGATCAGGTGAGGTGGTATGTTCTGAGAGGTTACTGTAGTTTAGTTGCAGAGGTTGCTGAATCCTCAGAATATCACTCTGGAGCATCAGTCAGTGGTTATCATTAGTCATTAGAACGCTGCATGTATGGCCACGAAGGTCCAAGTGTGGTGATAATTCAAAGTGCTGACTTGCAGAAATAAACTACATTCATGCTTCCTTTCCAAAAGTCTGGGAAAAGTGAATAGATGTTTGAATTAAGCCCAAAAACACCATCTGTGCTCACCCCAGGATTGCACACTAGGTTTTGTCCCTAAGGCAAAAGTCATTTAAATTACCCATATCATGGAAAACTGAATTATCCCTGTTTTTTAACTAAGAGTTTGGTGTAATATGTAAATGTTAAAGATTCAATATGTACCCCAGTCCATGCAAAAACAGCTTATTTTGCATGTTTCTGTGATGTCATGAAAACCAAAGCCTATACATATATCCACCTATACAGCTTACAGCAGTTTAGCTCTATCCATTCACAGTCTTATAAGGAGTGTTTCAGCCCAGGCTGCTTTTTGAATGAGCCATGAAGGACAGAGATAATTTCCCTATACCTCTTACAAAGCCATAGAACCAAAAACAATCTGCTAAGTCTAAGGCATAAGATGGACATAAATTGTAAAAATTAATTGTGACTGTTTTTGGCACATAAAATCAACAAAAAAAGTCAAGAGAAGTTCAGGAAAAATATAAAATGATATGCAAAATCAAATATAATCCATTGAAAGCTTTGCAAATACAGCAAATCATTCATCCCAAGTCTTGGAATCTTAAAATGTTGTGAAGGTGTTATGATGAAAACGGTATAAAGGAATTCCATTTCTGGTACCTGATCTTTCTGAGCCCTCATAGAGTCTATAAGGGGCTCGCTGTACTGAGGGTCTTTGGCTGGATCCTTCAGCTCTTTGTGCTCTGTAGTGCTCTGAGGAAAGACAGGAAAGAGCTACTGAATTGCATACAGCTGCGTGGTCTGTGTGCCAGCTATGTGTCCATGTATTTTTGTAAATGTGAGTTTGTGAGTACATTTGTTTTTTTAAGTGTACCTCTGGAGGGAAAACCCTTTCAAACACTTTCTTCCACAGGTCCAGCGGGTTTCTAGCATGCAGTGTTCCAATATCAACATCAATGGTTGGAGGGGATCCTGAATCAAAACAAAGAATTTTCCTCAAAAATTGCACTATGGTGATTTCAAATATTTCAGGAGAAGCACTGAGGTAACTGCTGCTTATGTGGCTGCCCTACACTTTCATACTGAGGCTTATATCTATGTCTGTAGTTCTTTTGCCATGTGCCACCTGCGATTTAGAAGTGTCTTTCGCCAATAAGTAACAGCGAGTATAATACTATTAGTAAAAACCTAACACAGATACTTTGAGCAACATGCAATGCCTTCAACAGCCAGCAGATGGCTCTGTGCATTCACCTATCTGACTGAGAGAGTCCATGCCAGCTGGAATTATGAGAGGTTTGCTGGGGTCTGCAGACATGGACTTCCTACAGATCAGAAAAATATGAATATTAGTATAATTTTACAACACTCAACATACAACATAAAATACCTTGTTAAGCTGCAATAATCACTCCAGGCTCATGAGGTTTCTTACCCTTTCTCTGTTCCAAAAGCTAGGTGGCTCACAAAGCTCCTTGCTTTAGACATCATGGTCTCTGATTTACTGCTAGTGAACTAGTAGAACACAGACACAAACAAATTCAGAAAACAGAAGACTTTGAGAAGCTAATTTAAGGTAGTACCAGCATTTAAACATAAAGCACAAAAGCAATTTAATCTCACTTACAATCAGCGATGCACCATAGTAATGTGCCAGGAAACGCAAGGTCTTACAAATCACCTTCCTTTTCTCTGACTCGAAGTCCTGCACAGAGACATATAAGCGGATTTTGACAGTACAAACAGCTAGCTGGTAGCTGCTCTAAAATTAGGGGAACTATACTGTAAAGTTTCACTGTATCTGTTTTACAGGATGATGCATAAACCTACATATAGCTATGAGAAATAAACTGGAACAGCAGCTATTATCATTTTTACAGTGCAATAAAGAAAACCTTTCAACTATTGGGACAAGAACACACCTCTAAAAGCCCCCCTGGCAAACCAAAGTATAACAAATGAAAGTACAACACTACATTTATGCTAATGACAGTTCACTTTCATGAGAAGACAAATGACAGTAAAACAGAAACACCTCAAATGTCAGTTTTGTCTATTAATTAAATAGTAATTATGATTACCTTATTCATATTATGATATTATGTTAAACATATTTAAATATTATATAATATAATAAAACAATTATAATAACAATAAATGTCACCTTATTCTACCTAATGATTTCTTTAGCAAGCATCTAATGCTAAAGCTAGCTGCAGTGAACAACTCTGTGCCTTTATGATGAACATCTAACTAAATTATATTTCAAAATGCTAAAGAGGACTTTTTCCCCTGTCTTGGGGGTATTTATTACCTCTAACTTTACTTTTTCACTGTAATCACCCAAGAATTAAATCAACTGACCCTAAAAATCTCCCAGGGAAATAAATAGAAATAACGCCATAATCAAGATGAAATTTTAGAATTAATTAGAGCATAACCATTTAATAAATGTGTCAAACTTAGACGTGACCCCATCATTTGATCAGAAGAGAAAATAAGTAGGTGAAGGACAACTTAGCCTGGGGGTCTTCTTCCCCTAAGATACTATATCTGCCAGTGCAACATCACCTGGTTTTAGTGTGGTATGAAATTACTATCATTTTATGACAGGCTGTGTTGTGAAAGGTGGGGTGAGTGTATAAAGTACAGACATGACTCAAACAGAGCAGTAGTCATCTTATGCAGTGATACAACAAAGTGCCTACCTGAAAGATGTCAAACTTACTACCGATGAGAAGGAGAGGCATGGGATAGGGGCTGATGAGCTCTCTGTCCTTTTGAACACATACAGCTTTATGTTAGAGTGGGGAAAGAAAAGAACGCACTTATTGTTAACAACAGAGGATGCTGGTTCTCACCGGGTGATCTTTGGGGAGAACACGCAGCTCTCTGCTTTGGTTTTGCTGTTTGCTGGTTCTGGACTCTCCCGGCCTCTGCGGTAAGGCACACACTTTTTCCACCTGGTTCAGGGCTGCCTGCAGGAGTTTCTCCATGGTGCCCCACAGAGCACTGGGCTTAGACAAATCCAGAACCAGCACGACAGACACAGAGCTGCATGGAGAGGAGTAACAATTACAGAATGAAAGTCATCAAATTACACAGTCCTTTTTGCTTTGCACCAATCATGAACTTTACATGGCTGATTCTAATTCCTTAATAGCCAAATGCAATTTTACTAGCCTTAATGTTTAACCCATATCTTCTATGTGAGTTTAAATGAACACATGAAACACATATTTCTGGTACCTTCTACAAACCAAAGTCGCGGAATAAATAAGACTGATCACTTCTGAATGAATCAAACTGACATTTATAATCCTTAAACAAAAAATCGTTTGCACAATGAGGAAAATATAATTACAGTCATATGCAAAAGCTGAGATACCCCTAGTCAAAGTATATTTTGCTGACTTTCTAAGTGAAAATAAGTTAACACATCCTCTACAGACAACATATTTCTGCATATTTTAATGCACAATTACTATAAACTTTCTGAATTTAACATGATGGAAAAATAAACTAGAACATAAAACATAGCCAGTGCAAAAGTTATGGCACATTTTATATTTCCTTTTTATTTTTTCCAATATAGTAAAAATAAATAGGAATCGTGCACTAAAATTAGCAGACAAATGTCATACTTATGTTTGTTCCCTATAGAGTTTGTGTACTTATTTTCACTTACAAATTCAATAAAATGTGAATTAAACTTTTGCATACGTCTGTATATTACATCATTTTTGTTTGAGTGTAGCAGCAGCATATAAATACAACATGAGTGCTCTTATGTGGCATTATTTGTGTCATAAAATTGAAACACAAATCAAAAATCCAAAATCAAAAAAAAATTTGGACAATTTCATATTCGAAGCAAAAATCTGCCTATTCTGATCCTGGCTGATTCCGATTAGGCGTCCCTACTACATATTATTGGTCATATCTGTTGTTTTACAAAGAAGGCCTTCCCTCAGCCTTGTAAGAGATCAAGTGGCAGGGTCAGCCTAATTTAAACTGTTTTCATAAACTCAAATCAATGCAAGGAAAGCAGGGATAACTATGCGTAGGATTCGGCTTATTCAGCTTATTTTTCTCTGGTTTTCCTACAAAAGTCAGGACATTTTTGTCCTCCAAATGAATGAAAACAAACACAATCTGAATGCAGGTAGATGAAGACTGACCTGACATTTAGAGGAGTGATGGGTATCTGGACTAGATCTGACAAAGACGTGCCCCCTCCCAGTTCCCACAGGTGGGCTATGTCTTTTGGCTGGGCAGAAGGAGAAAAATTCACGCCCAAATTAAATCTATTAACTCAAAAACCTAATGGCCTTTCATAAGAAGTTGAGAAAGTATTTTGTAAATACCGTATTATGCCCTTTTGCTCGTCTACCAAAGGTGTACTCCAAAGCAAGAGTTGGTTTGGGTGCTTCATCTCTTGAATCAGATAAGAAATACATCAGATAAAAGACAGATAAAATGCTTACATCAGATAAAATGCTTGGTCTTACATCTGTTTTAAATGTAAGACCAAGCATTTTATGTACAGAACTAAATGTAATTAAAGGTTTTCACTCACCTGTCAAGGCACCTGAGCAATATTGTTGTTTTACCCTAAAAATGACATGTGACAGTATCTTAGTCTCTCAGTATTTATGCAAACAGTCTAGAAAAGGATTAAATGGGATCACTTGCAAAATGAACGAAAGATCACATTTATAAATCTTAAGTTAGATACAGAGAATAACTGGAACACTACATGTCCAAAGGGTTGTAGACACTGCTCCTTGAATGCTTCCTCTGCAGTAACAGTCTCTACTCTTCTGGCAAGACTTTACACTAGATGTTGGAACACTGCTGTGAGGATTTGATTGCATTCAGCCACAAGAGCATTACTGAAGCCAAGTACTGATGTTGGATGATTAGTTCTGGATCACTCATGCCACTTCAACTCATGCCAAGTGTTCGAAGAGGTGTCTGGACACTTCTGGACATAAAGTGCAAGTTTACCCCAGCTTTACTGCCCATGAACAGCACTGTCCTCTCGCACAGGGCGGCTGAATCGTCCTCAGCATCATCAGCAGCAGCTCTGCTCTCTCTAGTCCGGAGCTCCGCTGCAGCCAAGTCCCACAGCGTGTCTGTACTGCACAACAAAACAACACTGACCACCAGAGCCCGCGATAGTTCTTCTCCATCTTCGAGTTGTTCTTAAATCACTCTGTTTTCGCCATATATTAATGTTACAGAGATAAAAACTCAGATAAAAGAGAGTTAGCTAGCTTTAGCTAGAACAGCTAGAAATCTAACATGACGCTGAAGTTGGCTTCCTATTCACCAGCTTCTTGTTCGAAGCTTCCCGTTCCACCTTAAATAGTGCAGCAGTTACATTCTGGCGCTTGAGGTTGCACCATTTAAGGTGGAGCAGGGGAATTCCAACAAGAAGCTGGCGAATAAGATGCTAACATAGTAAAGTTAAGGTTGACCTAACACGGTGATTTAAAAAGACGCTGGCTATGCGACTGAATTACTTACTTAATTTTGGGCATGACGTCCCCTTATGTATTTAACAGTTAGTCAATTAATAATAGAATTCAGCCGACAATAACAAATGTTAGCTGCTACTAAACTAGCTGGCTAACCCGTGTTTTGATTACTGTTGCGAGGGGTTACAGCGCGGTCTGATGATGTGTTGACCAGGCGCATTCTGGGACATGGAGTTTTCCACTCTGTTACACTCTGTGTTCCGGTAAGAGAGATTTCTTTCTTTTGTTAAATGTATTAAATTGTGTAGTGTTAACTGGTTGCTGTTAGAGGATGCGACGTGCATTATATATGATTGGCTTGTACTAAAGAAAGTGAAAGGAAAAGGTAAAAAGAATAGTAAAGGAAAATAAAGCACCCTAATTAAGCGGTTTAATATGATGATGATGCATGAGTTACTCATAATGAGCACAGCTAAGAATTCTGTATTGGGGGGGTCCATGTTTTGATGTTTCAACACAGAAAACTTGTTTGGTTGGTTGGTTGTTTTGTGAGACCATCGTCACAAATTTAAGAGCCTGCTTTAGTATGAGTGAGATTTTAGTGTGTAAAGTTTAGAGCAGGAGTGTCCAATATACAAAAAAGGAGGTAGGTAGGTTTCAAACTGAGTTTTTACAAATGTATTGTATAGCACTGCACTACACATTACAAATACACTTAAAGAGAAATTATTATTATTATTATTATTATTATTATTATTATTATTATTATCATTATTATTATATTATTATTAAAGGGTAACTTTATGGCAACTTTACAGCCAAATCAGACATCCTCATGAGCCAACTTTGGCCACACTTTGGGCAGTAAATTTTAGAAAATGTCAAATGATGCATCAGTGAAACACTCCTACAACAGTGTTAGTTAGAGTGATTATCTTCCCAGATTAAAAGGAAATAAACAAATCTTCAGTTTTAAGCACAGATCCTTCCATTATGTGAACCTAACTTAAGCAGCAGCTCAGCTGGCCAACACTGACCATTACAAATATCTTGTACAAATGCACTTAGACTGAAGTCATTAAAACTCATATTTAACCCCTCCGCAGATTCCATGTCTAGAAACTATAGTTTAGCAACTTGTTTATGACACAAGCAATTTTTCCAACAAATATTTACAAACAGATTATTTTACTTATAATTCACTACATCAAACTTCCAGTGGGTCAGACATTTTCATACACCAAGTTGACTGTGTCTTTAAATTGCTTGGAAATTTACAGAAAATGACATCATGACTTTAGAAGCTTGTAATAAGCTAATTGACATCATTTGAGTTAACTGGAGGTGAAACTGTGGCAGGATTTTAAGGCCCACCTTCAAGGCCTACTTGCATCTTTGCTTTGCATCACTGGAAAATCAAAGAAGTCAGCCAAGACATCAGAAAAAGAACTGTGGACCTCCACAAGTCTGACACATCCTTGAGAGCAATTTCCAAACACCTGACAGCAATAAAAGACGCAAATACTTTAGTTTTATTGTTTAAACATTTATTATGCAAAAGTATAATATATACAGTCACACGGATTATTATCTATTTTTATACCTGTTAACAGCTATGACCAGCGAAGTTTATTGGTTAAGCGCCAAAAAGAACACAAATAACCTCCGCACCTCCAAGGCAGTGTGTTGGATGTAATATTGGATCACTGATTAATTAACAGCCTGAAAATGTCATCAGATAAAGGCAGATAATACACAAGACATTTACTGCTTTCACACACAAACACAAACACACTCACACAAACACACACACAGGCTCAGTGTCTGACGAGGTGGTCTCATATCTTGAAGCTGATGACCCCCAGCAGTACGAGTGCAGACAGGAAGGTGTAGAGCAGGAGAAAGTCCTGAGTGTAGCGTGAAGGTGCTCCTGGGTAACGCTGCTCTATAATAGCGCCACTCCTGGGTTACTGGCAACAGCACCTGAGTCAGAGCATAAGAGTGTCAAGAAACAGCTTGAGAGGAATCACACCAACCTTTACAAATTTCTGCATAATTAAACAGTTAATATGTTTAAGTAGTCATTCAGAGTAGTTTGATATGAAATGCTTCATTTTCAGAATTGTTCACAGTGGTGGTGATAGGAACCAGACAGCTGAAGAGTTTAATGGCTCTGAAAGTTATTACATAAAATGGTTGTGAAAACACTGCCTGATACCTTAAACGTTGTTTTATTGTAGGTTTGGGATGAAGCTTTTGGAATAAAACACATTTTTAAAAATCCAGAGAGAAAGATGCAGCGCAATGTAAGGCAAATTGAACTCAAAGGAAACATATTTTTTACAGTTATCACTATTTTACTTTCCCCTGACCAGCATTACATATAAAATCTCAGGAGACGTGTAGATTCACTGGTTAGTTTGGATTGTAAATAAAATGGCTATATTTGCATTGTAGACATTACAACAGTTAATATCATCACCACTGTAAAGAAATCCAAAAAGCAGCTTTCTCTGAGTTTTAGTACCAACAATCAGTATTTCAGTGTTTTCTTGATTGAGTTGTAGAAAATTTTGCAACATCCATTGAGAAATATCTGACACACAGCTGGTTAGTCTGTCTACAGAGTCTTGATTTTCATAAGGAGTAGAAATATATAATTACATGTCATCAGTGTAGCTGTGAAAATTGGTATCATGTTTCCTAATGACATCACCAGAGGTAACATGTATAAAGAGAAAAGCAAAGGCCCTAAAACTGAACCTTGTGGAACTCCTCAGGAAATGTTACATTTTTTAGATTAATGATTTCTCAGTGAAACCATGAACTGGCTATTAACTAAATGTGATTTAACCTTTCTAAAACTGTGCCTGACAGGCCGACCCAGCATTCAAGACAGTGGATTAAAAAATAAGCTCTAAGATCCAATAAAACCAGAATAGAAGGATTTTGTGCATCAGCGCTGAACCTGAGGACACTGACAACACAAACCAGTGCTGTCTCAGTACTTTGATTAGAATGAAAACATGATTGAAACTTCTCATATAACTTGTTTGATATTAGATCCACATTTAATTGCTTGAAAACAACTTTTTCCAGGACTTTACTTAAAAAAAGAAGGTTTAAAATTGGTCTAAAGTAATTTAGTACAGAAGGATCTATGCTACTCTTTTTAGTAGATGCTTCAGAAGGGCAGTTTTAAAAGTCTCCGGAAAAGCACCTGTTTTCAGGGAACAATTTACAATAGTTAAACATCACTTTGAACACAATCAAAAACCATCTTAAGGAGAGAAGCAGGAACAGGATCGAGATCACAGGATGAACTTAATTTGTTTATTACGGCTGTGAGCTCCTGATAACTGATAACAGAGAAAGTTGTCATCACTGATGTAGGTGGCTTATCAGGAAGATTATAGGAGCTTGTTTTAGTCACCTGAGCTACACTCTCTTATCAAGACTATTTTATTTTGAAAATATTATTTATTGCTGTTGTTTTAATTACAACCCCATTTCCAAAAAAGTTGGGACGCTGTGCAAAATGTAAAAGAAAACAAAATGCAATGATGTGCAAATCATTTAAACCCTATATTTATTTGAAAATAGTACAAAGACAACATATCAAATGTTGAAATTGAGAAATTTTATTGTTTTTTGAAAAATATATGCCAATTTTGAATTTGATGCCAGCAACACATTCCAAAAAAGTTGAGGCGGGGCAATGAAAGACTGATAAAGCTGTGTAATGCTAAAAAAAAAAACCTTGGTTAATTGGCAACAGGTCAGTAATATGATTGGTTATAAAAAGTCTTTCAGAGGTAAACATGGGGAGGGGTTCACCACTCTGTGAAGACTGTACAGGCAAATAGTGCAACAATTCAAGAATAACGTTTCTCAATGTAGAATAGCAAAGAACTCATTATGTACAGTACATAATATCATGAAAAGATTTAGGCAATCTGAAGAAATCTCTGTATACAGGGGACAAGGCTGACAACCAGTGTTGGCTAGCCAAGATCTTTGGGCCCTCAGGTGGCACTGTGTTAAAAACAGCCATGATTCTGTAGTAGAAATCACTGCATGGGCTCAGAAACACTTCTGAAAACCACTGTCTGTGAACACAGTTTGTCGCTGCATTCACAAATGCAAGTTAAAACGTTACCAGGCAAGAAAGAAACCATATATAAACAGGACCCAGAAATGCCACTGCCTTCTCTGGATCCAAGCTCATTTGAGATATCCTCCGGGCTAAAGACCATCAGGCTTGTTATCAGCACACAGTTCAAAAGCCAGCATCCGTGGTTTGGGGGTCCATTAGTGCACATGGCATGGGTGACTGGCACATCTGTGAAGGCACCATTAATGCTGAATGATATATACATGTTTTGGCAAATTATGCTGCCATCCAGACGGCGCCTTTTTCAGGGAAGGCCTTGCTTATTTCAGCAAGGCAGTGTAAAACCACATTCTGCACATATATCAACAGTATGCCTCTATAGTAAAAAAGTGCTAAACTGGCCTGCCTGCAGATCACCCACTGAAAACATATGGCACTTTATGAAACGAGAAATACAACAAAGTAGGCCCTAAATGTATTTTATAGCACTGCATTACACGTTACAAAATACTTTTTTAAAAACACTTGTATTATTATTATTATTATTATTAGTAGTAGTAGTAGTAGTAGTAGTAGCATATGTTATTTTTAAAGGGTAACTTTATGGCAGGCCAAATCAAACATCCTCATGAGCCAACTTTGGCCACACTTTGGGCAGTATTTTTTCAAAATTGCTGAATGGTACATCAGTGAAACACACTGATCTCTTACTGCAGTGTTAGTTAGAGTGATTATCTTCCCAGATTAAAGAGAAATAAAACAAATCTTCAGTTTTAAGCACAGATCCTTCTTGTGCGTGAACTTGACTGAGACAAGAAGCAGCACAGCTGGCCAAAACTAACCATTACAAATATCTTGTACAAATATAAGTGGCGCCAATTACTGATACATTGAGGGTCAGTGTCAGAGAGATACAGTTGAAGTCATAAGTTTACATACACTGAGGTTGAAGTCATTAAAACTCATATTTATCCCCTCCACAGATTCCATGTCAATAAACTAGAGTCTTAGCAAGTTGTTCAGGATGTCTACTTTGTAAATGATTATTTCACTTATAATTCACTATAT